GACGTATGGTGCCGCTCAAGGATGCCTCCGGACCGGGCATCGGGTTCAGCTATAGCTACAGCTAAAGCTACAGTGCGGTACGTCATCGACAGTGCAGTGCAGTGCCAGTGCAGTTGGCCTCCGGGGCAGGCATTAACCTTCAACCGGCGCGTCGACTGCATTTGCTCTCCTCTGCTCTGCTTTGGTCGATTTGTGAATGAAAACAGGGCCAAAGCCCGGTTCACTCCCGCTCTAATTGATTTTACAACCCAACTCTCGGCGGAAAAACTACAAGAAAAGCTCAGAGCATAGCGTTGGGGAAATGTTTTTCTTTTTTTGTTTCTTTTGGCAGGTTTCCTTCTGCCGGGGATTGGCACTCCCAGGAACTCTACAGCTTTCATTTCTTCTACTTCTTTCTTTACTTTTACATATTTATCCTACGCTCATTGCCTTTTTTTTTGAGCTATTTTCCTCTTGACAAATTGTACGTGCAGTGCTGCTATTGCCTACTGCCGACTGCTGACTGTCGCTTTAGGGATAAATGTTTCCCATTTTCTTGTGCTCTTTCTCGTTTTGCAGGACAACACGTAGGACTGTTAGCTCGTTAGGCCTAAGAACTGACTGCAAATGTCAGCTTATGCATTCATTTTGGGCCACTTCTCGTGAATAATTGATGTCCCCCGGGATGAGGCCCAAACAGCTCGAAAACTACATAGCTAATTGCTAATTACTGGGGGAAGCTGCTCCTTGAAGTGGAATAAGTTATGCTCGCAGAAAGTTCTGTATTTTCCCAAGCGAAGAAGTACTTCTTCCCTTCATGATATATAGTTTCATAAGAGAGAAAAAATACCTATGTACCTGCCTCCCCCTGTGGCTTGCCGTTGCCCACTTCTCTGCGTACTCCTGTGTCAGTGCGAAGTGTAGACATTTTGTTTGCGTATTGGCTTCAATTACCGAAACACAGGCTGCATATCTAATGAGAGTCAGCCCCAGCAGAACAGGACACACACACCCCCAATTCGGGTATCGTAGGGGCAGCCTCTCTGTGTAGCCTCATTGTGCTCACGTTGGAGTTAGGGAGTGGGTAGTGGGGAGTGGGGAGTCTGGTATTTGGGTCAAAGTGTGAATTAGCATAAGTGATGCCTTCTCCTGCTGCTCAAGCTGGCTGGCACGCGTTTCTCCTCGAGTGTTTTTCAATGAGCAACGATTTAATTCGCGCACCCAAAATAGCAACTGAAATTACCCAAAAAAAAAAAAGACACCCCAAAGGGAGCAAGCGTCACGGAGGGGAAGACGTGGGGAACTCTTGAAAATTTCATTAATATTTCTTTTTGGGAGAAACGAAATTACAGTGGCAGCAGAAGTGCCATTAAAACCGGTGTGTGTGGGGGGAGAAACAACAAAGATAACAAGCCGGAAACATGAGCAATAAAAATATACAATAAAAACGTGAAGAGGCATCAAAAGATGAGGTTGCAGCAGCACGAAGCACAGGAAAGGAGAGGACAGGTGAGGACAGGAGAGAGCGAGGAGTCTCCGCCCTCCAACTGATGTTGATGATGAGATGGCGGGGAAAAGGTGCACAAAAAAACAAGTAAATATTGGTATGGAAGTCATATAGTATTAATGCATGGGTGGCATGGGGGGGGGGAGATGTACATACATACGTACATTTTCGAATAAAAATCATGACCTCCTGCCCCGCTCCTACTCTGTGTTTCCCAACATGAATTACTGCCACTAAAAGACAGTCAAAAAGTTGACTAAGAAGGCCGCAAGTTCAGACTGTTTTTCATGCTCCATGCTCCGCGCTTCACGCTCCACGCTCCACTCTCATGTGTGCTGTGCCACAACAACAAAAAGAGAAGATTAATTATTTTGTGGTGATGCATGCCCTGGAAAACTGCCTCAAAACGATGGCTTGGTCTTCAGGAAAACAGAGGGAAGCAGGATCCCTGCTCTTAGGGTATCCTTGGGTTCTATCAGTGCCTGCCTCCCTCTCAAGTCTGTGGCAACAAGTTGACCGCCGCTCCATACCCACAGCTGTCGGCTGGCGCGTGCAGCAAATTAACACGCCCTACCTCATAAACATTCTACCCCTACACCCGCCACGGAGGAGGCTTTGGGGCCCAAACTCCATAAGAGAAGTTAATGCCGCGTAACCTGTTAAAATAAAGCCTGTTCTCGTATTGGAGGCACTGGGCCCCACGGAAATGGAAATCCTACCTTCTGGAGGCCATAAGCCAAACGCAGAGCAGAAGTCGAGATGGAGGCCAGCAGCCAACAGGCAACAGCCAGCAAAAGGAGAGCAGAAATTATTTCCGTTTATTATTAATAAGCACCCACATTCCGCTGCCACATACACTCGTACATACATACATATGTGCCGAAGGAACTTTCTGGGCAAAATGAGGGGAAACGGAAATAGAAATAGAAATACCAGAAAAAGTCTCTTAATTAAATGCTTAAAAATAGCAATTCATTTTCCAGAAATAAAGCAGAGAGACGGAGCAGGGAGAGAAGGCATTAGAGGCAGACAACCGCAAAGGGGTGGAGTTCGAGGGGCAGAGCCAGAAACTATTCTTGAGGGCTGTCACAATGATTACGTGCCTGACAGCAGGAGAAGGCAGAGGAACGTTCTCTATATTGTTACGAGTGCTCGCTCGTACTCGCTCGTACTCCTACAAGAGCAATTTCAAATTAAATGGGGGAAACTCTCATAGAGATAGAGATAGAGATAGACATAGATAGCGAGAGAGAGAGAGAGACAAGGAAAAGGTTGGCTCGGCCAACAGTGCGGATGAGGAGCAACAATCACAGCTGTAAAAATCACACATACGCACTGTGTGCCCTCAGATCTGCGTTGCGTATCGCTTTATCCCCACTTTAATGGGCCCCTCATTTGTCGACTGTCAACGGGAATTAGGTCAAAGTATATTTTTAGACATCATCCGCAGTACATAGAAACCAACTAGGAAGAATTCACCATCCTCGATAGGGGGTGGGGGCGTGGGGTGTAGATAGTGGATGCCACTTTCTGGGTACGTTGCCAAAATATTTTGATTCTGACATTTTTCATCATCTTTTCGGTCACGTCCGTGGGCAGACAAGTGTGTGTGTGCGAGACTGTTCTCTTGAGTATGTGTGTGCAACAAATCAGCATGGAAAATGGAACAGGGAACATGGAACATGGGCCCCCTCCTCCACCACTTGAGTGCGTGACTGTGTCGGCCATTTAGCAGGAGGCAGACTCCTGGATTGGCCATTAAATCAAGAGGCGATGGAGATGGAGATGGAGATGGAGAAGGGCACTCTGCAGGATTCCCTGCGGTTTAGTCAAGTTTACGCTTAATATTCGCACTAATTTCATTAATTTGTTGCTCTCGCATTCGATTTGCCAAACAGATGGATTTTTATGATGATTGTTCCCTAAATGGTCCCAGGACTCGGAGTTCTGCGAGTGGAGAATGGAGTGATGTATTTTCATTTCGAATCTGTCGCACACAAATCAATCAATGCAAAATACAAAACTGAAACGCAAACTCAAACTCAAGTACGGGACTCTACTTCTGCTTCTACTTCTCCTTCTGCTCCTTTTCGTGGGATGCCGCCTGTCAAATCAAACTGTCAGATGGTTTTCGTTTTTTATTGAGGTTTGAAGGGACTGGTTATTCGATATTTATTGTCTGCCAGTTGAGCTGGAAGCATATTAATCAAATGCCTCAGACATGGTCTGCCCCTACTGCTCCTCCTCTTGCTGTGCCTCAGACATCGCCTCAGAAGCAGCGCTCTGCGCACTCATTATAAATTCAACAAGAATCCCCATCGAGAGATGTGTCTTCATTCATAGCCGTATATTGCCCTGACAACCAAATATCTTGATGGCAATTCAATCGTTGACCTACTTTCACGGACAGCAAACTTTTCTCCTTATTTATTTTTTTTCGGAGACGGGTTGAGTCTGTGCTTCGAGTGGGTGGTGGGGGGGCGAACGGCAGACCACTCGGTCTATGACGGAGTCCTAGAATTGCTCTCCTAATTGCAGATTCCACATAACCATCAGCAGCATCATCATCATCATCATCGTATCGTAATCTGTGGGATGTTCATTGATTTGTGGCTATTTTTGGGCAACTTTTTTTATGGCTGAAAGTTTTCTGTGCCTCGATTGGTGTCACACATAACGGCGGAGACAAAGTGGACATTAAATGAGAAATGAATGGCGAATATAATGATTATAAAGGATAGAGGCACAAGTTGGCATGGAAATGGCGATTTAATTAGTTCAAGTGGAGATTAAAGTTGATTGAAACGGAATAGGTATCGTTGCAGGAGGCTTTCAGGTACAAATACAATCTACCTTCGAGCATGAAAGCCCATTTCCCAAGCTGAAAAATAAACCAGAAATTGTAGTAAAAAATGCAAAGACTTTCGCTTGTAATTTTGCTGTGTAAATTATTTCACTTTTATTGAACTCTCATTTTGCGTGTGGATTGCTATGTGGATTGCTGCCTGTCTGCCAGTCAGTGCCAGTCTGCATACAATTTCTGATTCTGAATGCAGTTTACAGGCCGATGGCTGCTGCTCCGCTGTTCTGCTGTTGGTAAATAGTTATTAATATGTTGCTTTATATATGCATACGTATGCAGTGTATATATGTATGGTATATGGTATAGTAATTATGCTGATATTCTTCTGTATATAATCCCTCAACGGTTATTGCTTTTGCTTACGATTCATGTATATATGATTCATATATGTATATGTAGAATGTGTATAAACGAGTATATTTAGGCCTTGGATTGCATTTGACATTACTTTTTACTCTTTTACTCTTTTAGTTTAATCTTTAGGTTAAGTTATCTGTAAACTGCATGTAAATCTGTGTGTAAACTGCTAAAGTACGCCGTAAAGTACATTGTTAATACTCTCTCAAGTCAGTTGCGCTCTTGTTTTGGCTTGGTTTTTTGGTTATAGATATTTCTACTTTTGCTGGAGTTGGAGTGCTGTTCCTATATCTTTTTACTAACTATATATCCTATATATAATTTCTGGTTTGGCAAATTAGTTGTTTTGATTGGAATGGAACAAGTTCTTAATGTAAATAATTGAAGATAAAGTTAATGTTAAAGTTAATGTTAAAGTTAATGCTAAAGTTAAGGTTGTTGTATTTCGGAACATAGATAAATGCCAGACAAATTGTTGATCCCATTAAACATTCACTAAGCAAAATCTACACTTAACTTATCATACATATTTCTCTTTTCCTTTGCATAAAGATTTATTTCACTTTAATTCTCTCTTTTGTTTGTTTGTTTGTTTTTTGTGTGTTTTCTTTTGCTTTGACTTTTCCGATAAAGGCACGAATCGTTTAGGAATTTATACATATATCTAAAGGAAATCTACAACTGCGCAATGAAAATGAAAATGCAATTTAATTTTTCTTTTACAGTCTTTGGTATGTGTGTGTGTGTGGGGAATGATCCTTAGATCTAGAATCAAGCGGATATATATAATTGCATGTATATATATATATGTGTATATGTATGACGAATGCCTCTACTCTCTACTTAATAATTCTTGTTCTTGTATATATTTTAAGTATATTTTTTTTTGGATTGGTTTTCCAAGTGCAAAAGTTATTCAAGTTTTTATAAAATTTTCTCATTTCTCATTTCAATTCTTGTAGTTTGTTTTTCCCTTTTTAAGTTTTTTGTTTGGTGAAGACTTTCGGATATGATGGATGTGGTGAAGTTTGGGTTGGTTGGGAGGGGGTAGGGAAGGAGGGGAAGGCTTGTTGTATCACAGACTTTGAAATGAATTTCGGGTGAAAAAGTAGGCAATGGGGAAATGGGGAAATGTGACTCTAGAATCTTCTAATGCCTTCTAACGCCTTCTAACGCCTCGCATACTGACAGCAGACGGAGCTGCGCGGCACCCGCTGGGTGGGCAGGCCTGACATGCCCTTCAGATATGTGTAGGAGACGGGCTGCCGTAGAATTCTCTGCGGCGGCGGCTTCCCCTTGCCCGCGTTCTTGCCACCTGCCCCAGACGAGGCGGCGTTGCAGCCACTGCCGCACTTGGTGACGGCTGTTGGCCTGCTGCTCGGCTGCTGCTGCTGCTGCTGCTGCTGGTGCAGTTCCACATTCGAGGCGGACTTGAGAGCCGACTTCAGTGGCATTGCCGACTGGTTGGCGGCCGCCGGGGGTGGTGGCGGTGGTGGCGACGGGCCGCTGCATGAGAGCGAGCGAGAGGTCAGCGAGAGGCTCTCGAAGGCGCGGCGCAGCGAGGATGTGGAGCGACGATGCAGCCGCGAGAAGCTGGCGCGGCTCGTCTGCTTCAGCTTCAGTTGGAGCTGCTGGCGCTGGTGCTGCTGCTGTTGCAGGTGCTCCTGCTGCTCCTCAATGTCCAGGGTGCTGCTCGTCTCGCTGGAGGCGCACGACATGGACATTAGCTCCAGTCGCGACTGGTGTACGGCCAGGCCACGCCCCGAGGAGCACGAGTCGGTCGATGAACTGTGTGCATCCTCCTCCTGCTGCTGCTGCTGCTGGTGGTGATGGTGGTGGTGCTGCACGGCTGCAACTGCCACTGCAGCGGCAGCGACTGCGTCATCCGACTGAAGTAGGTCATCCTGCGACCTCAGGCCGAAGCGTCGGCTCAGCTGCCGAAAGAAGCCCAGGTTCCGCTCGAAGCGGGGCACTGGCGACACACTGAGGCTGCTGCCCGGCGAGGAGCACACCTCCAGCTCGGACATGGACTTCTTGCCCATTTGGTTGTTGTTATTCAGACTGCCGTTGCTCCCATTGGAGGAGGCCTTCTCCTTCCGTCTCGGCCGCTGTGACTGCGGCAGCTCATCCGCAAAGCAAACATGCGGGGTACCCATGGAATGGCTGGCAATTCAATTCAATTTCTGGCCAAAAGTAATTTCCTCAGTCTGCTTCCTGATTCCCCCTGTTTCTGCTGTTTCTCCTGTTCTGCTGTTGTCTTGTTTCCTTTTTCCTTGTTCCTTTTTCGGGGGCGAGGCTGAAGGCAGTGCAAATGGCTGCACTTCCGGTGCTTTTCCGCTTCCCGTCTGCCCTCCCCGAGATCCACTTCCTTTGTTATTGTAACCGGTCTTTGTCCGCGAGAGACGCCGCCGACTGCTGTTTGCCGCTAGCTTGTTTCGTGCCGTAGTTCGTGCCTCGGTTTTCGTGCTTCGTGCTTCGGGAGAGTGTGTTTTGGCTCGGTTCGTTTAGTTACGTTGTCCTGCCGCGTTTGAGTCGGCGAATCGAAAGCCGCCTCCTTTTATAGACTCGCCCGGTGTCTGCGAAGGTCTGCACACGGTCTCTCTCGCGCGCTCTCTGCACAGTGCACTCCAAGGCAGGTCCAAGAGAGGGTGAGATTCAGTGCGAGAGGAAGCGTAGAGAATGCGGGCAGTGCCTGGCCTTGCATTCGATATACCCTGCACTCTGCCACCCTCCTCTGCCACCCGCTCTCCTTTGTCCTGCTGCTCGCCCGCATTTGTTGCCTCATCTCATAAAACGGGAAGCGAATTTTGTTTACCGTTGTGCTGTGTTGTGTGGCCTGTTCGCTGGCGTCGCCGCCGGCCGCCAGGTGGTGTCAATGCACGCGCCCCGCCCCCCTCAGGGAGCCGCCTTAGGGCGCCTGACTTTCCATCAACTTCTGGACTTTGCTCTCGATTGCTCTCCGCCTGTCCCGCTCGTCCCTCGACTTTTAATTGTTTTCGCTGCCTTCCTTCCATCGTTCGATCAATTATTAATCAGCTAGACGCTTTTCCATTTCCCATTTTGCATTTCCTTTTGTTTCGCGTTTGATTCCATTTCGGGTTTTCGTTCGGTTAAAAATAGCCTTTAAAGGCGAGGCTTGGCTTTCCTTTGAGGGATTCGACTAAAAATATCCTTGGTTATGACAGTTTTCAAGTGACAGCCCCTTTGGTAGGCCACAAGAAGTGCTGGGCCCCTCCCCTATTACGGCAAAAATAGATTCGGGGCCGGGCCTCCCCTGCCATTAGTTCCATTGTTGTTGGATTTTATTTAATTACGCACAAAATTGATTTTAATGTGCTATAAATAAAGCCGAATGCCAATTTTATGGGACAACATTTTAAGACAATCTACGACAACGTCGTTGCCGGCGGTCTAATGAAGTCCTTTGTCTTGCTCTTGGTCTCACGCGAAGCAGAGCGGGAAGAGATTTAAGGAGGTGTCAACAGCGATTACTCCACGCCTCAAAATGTTGAACTTCTAATTAGAGGCGCAATTGCTGCTGTGTGTTTTTTGTTTTGTTTCGACTGCGACTGACGTCAGAGCGGCCACTGATTTCTCGCTTTCGTGAGTTCTTCCTGCCCGTACCCTGCCCCAAAATTACACAATTTTCAAGTCATTTTGGGGCTCGACTGTGCGACTGGTGTGGGTGTTCCTTTGGCGCTGACTTGCTAAGCGTCTTGTCGCATCCATTTAGACGGGCATTAACTCATTTGGGACTTAATGAAGCTGGCCATCGGATGGATTAATAAATGAGCCTCGATGTTATCCTGCGGATCAATGAACTCTGCGATTTGCCAATCGAAAGTTAAAAGTTGCCAACTGAAAGCTAATTATAAAAACTACGAGTGTATGTGGTACAATTCGCAAATGGGAAATGGGGCATTGCATTTAAAATCCCTCCACTTGGCCACATTTGGAGGGATTTTGCAAATGGAATTGGCTGTATGGAAAAGGTTTTTTTTATAGACGAAATCTCAGAATCTGCAGGAGTCTATGCCGTTCAAGTCCAGGAACTCGTCTTCTCCGGAATGAGAGATATACATAGCTTTCCGTGTTAATAAACAGATAACAAATGGCTTCATTCTATAGAAACATTATCGAAATAGATTAACAATCAAGTAAATAATTTCAATTCGTTAAAACTCCTGCAATGGAATCATTGAGACGGCATTTTAGCCCCGAAGGCTATTGACAGTTTATTGTCTTTGGCTATTGCTGGCTCTTTCCAGGAACTCAGCCGAGGGGTTTGTTGTCCCTTGCCCTTACCCGTAACCCCTTCGTGACCTTTTTGCCATGCACATCTCTTTTCGTGCAACTCAGTGTTTCCGGCGTATGAAAACACCAAAAATAAATAAGAGAACATTTTCCAACTGCGTCACACAGAAAACTATCAGAGAACGAGATTTGTTTTTCCTCTTTTCTTGGCTGTGTGGATTTCCACTGAATAAAACCATAGTCTGAGGGCATTTGTTTGTTTGCAGATAAATCATGAATTTTAATATGATTTTGTTGGGACGTTAAGTGTGCCAAGGATATGCGGCTCCTTGAGCTACGGGCGCCTTGTTTATTGTGGGCTAAGCATCCGAAAGGAAAGAAAGGGTTCAAAGAGACAATGACCCTGAAAAGAGGTGACGGATATCAGAGAGAGGGGGAGAGAGAGAAAGAGAAGAGACCTTCATCCCTCAGCCCACAACCCACAGCCCACCCATTGGGAAACCTACATAATTGAGGTGTCATCAAATTTTAAACGCTCCACCAGTGGGGCAGTGGGTTGCAGGCAGGCAGGTAGCCAGCCAGCATCGCCGATTAACGTCACGGAATTGCACAGACATTGGCCTGGACATGGACATGATACGATATGCGCTCTCTCGTATGTTAAAACTGTAAGGTCGAGTCCTTCAGCAACTTGATTTTGAGGACTTTGCCTACATCATCAACAGCAGGAACAACAACAGCAGCAGGCAGCAGCAGTAGAATCGGAATGGAGTCCATGCACTGGCACACTTTCGGCGTCTGTTCCCAGTGGGAACAGTGGGCGGAACTGTTCTCTAAACAAAACGGAGGCCACTCGCTCTCTCAGAGAGAGCTTTTTGCCTACGTTAACGGTGTCCTTAAGCTTTGCGCTTAACCGTTAGAATTGAAGCTCTCCTTGATTTTCCATGCCAATCGCCTTGACTGAAATTTGATTTTAGTTTTTGTTTTTGTACCTTGTTTCCCCACTGAAAAATGAAAAGAAGGGGTTTTCTTTTTTGTTGTTTTTTGTTTTTATGTTTGGTAATAGTCATTCATGTATATTTATTCCATTGACATCTAGTTTTAATTGTAGATTATATATATATACTAAAAATAAATCTATAGCTATGTATATATTGTATATATGTATTTTGTTTGTCATTTTGCTTAGGCCTCTAATTACATTTGTCGCTACAGTTTTTATTTTCTCCAACTACCATAAAGTTTTTTGTTGTTGTTCATTTCATTGATATTTTTTAGTTCATTTTGTTAGAATTAATTTTTGCTTTAAAAAATTTGTGAATTATTGTAAAATTGTTTTTTAGTTATTAGAGTGTTCTTTAAGACATTTTCTTTTGTTGTTGTTTAATTTTTTCTTTTTGTATAAATTCGTCAATTTGAAATTGTTTTTTTTTTGTTTGTCATCGAATTGAAATGAGTGCAAAGTAAAGGGAAAACTATTTTCAAAAGTGCAAAAACCTTGTGTTTATCTTTTTCTGTTTGCTGTTTTCTGTTTTTATTTCAAACTAAATGTGTCTCAAAAATCGAGTCTAATCATTAAGATTACTTGTCGGAAGATATGTGCAAGGGGTAGGGGTTTGGGAGGGGGCAGATAATAATCTAAATAACATTTGCTTTAGGCTAAAACTAGGTTTCATTTAGTTTGTAAACTGAAAGTCCCTACAGTACTGGCCAAAGACAATTGGATCATCTAAGGTTGCATCTATCGTAGCATAGCAGCACATACACAACGTCTATATATCGTATATATTGTATATATCGTATATAGATTACATTCATATATGTATATATGTTTCGATTTTTGGGGGTAGGTACACTCATGGGCCCAATCCGCAGCGATTTATTCCCAGCTTTCACACATTTATAAAATATGCTCTCTGCTGAAGAATTCCCCTCGTGCTTTTGCGTTGCGTGTTTCCCATCTTCAGCTTCCTTTGCTTGGCGTTTTTAGGCACTCATCGTACATCACTGGGATCCTGAGATCCCTAACCAGTCCACCCGGTTCCAGTTCTTGCAGCATCCATCAAATACTCTTCCACTGTGGTGCGCTTAGTACATGTGCTGGAGGGTGTAGGGACAGCAGACCGCATAGCTGGGCACTCGCGAGTAGAGGCCGGACATGCCCTTCATGTAGACATACTGCACTGGCGGCCGCAGGATGCTCTGCTGCTTCTTGTCCTTCTTCGAGGAGGTGGACTTGGCGCTGGAGTTGCTGGAGTGGCTGCTGCTGCTGCTGCTGTTGGAGTTGTGGGGCGAGAGGGACTTCTTCTTCAGCTGCCGATGCAGGGGCGTGCTGCTGCAGGAGAGGGAGCGCAGCGAGGCGTTTGCAGTGGTGGCCGCCGAGCTGGAGAAGTGCTGGAGCATCCGGCTGACCGACGAGGAGATGGAGATGCGGCTGAGATGGAGACCGTGCGATTTGGAGGCGGAAGCGGAGGCGGATGCCGCCGATGGGGATCTTTGCTTCCTGTTCCTGTTCTCATTCTCATTATCGTTCTCGTTCTCATCCTCGCGCTCATTGTCGCCGTCGTTGTCGCCCTCTCCCTCGCCCTCGTTGCTGCTGCTGCCCTCGCTGCTGCCGCCCTCGCTTCTGTCCTCGTCGTAGTGCATCTGGGGATGCAGCTGCTCCATGGCGCTGCCCGGCCGGAAGACGGCATCCACGTAGATGTGCCCCTGGTTGTCGTAGTAGTCGAGCCCCGTGGGCGAGTACCGCGAGTATCCCGAGGCCGGGGAGGCCCTCGAGGTGTGCTCCTCCAGATCCTGGCTGGAGCCCCCGTTCATGTGCATGGACATGCCGCCGGTGCATTCGTGGGAGCCGCGCTCGTAGCTCAGGCTGAAGGAGTCCGTGGAGCTGCTGCGGATGTCGTCCTGGCTGCTGTAGACCGTCTCGTGCTGCGGATGATGCGAATGGTGGTGGAAGTGCTTGCCCAGCGTCCTGCTGAGCAACTGCAGCAGACTCCGGCTGCGGGAGAGCTTCTTCTGGCCGCGCTGATGGCGCTGCTTGCCACTGCCCAGATCCATCGATGAGCTGGCCGCCGAGCTGCCGCTGGAGCTCGACTTGGAGCCGTTGTTCGCCGAAAGATTATCCATTTCAGTTTAGTTTATTTTGTCTTTAAGAGTTTACTCTTCACTGGTTTTTCACTGTGTCACTGTGTCTCCGTCGAATCGGAACTCGAGTGTTCTGTTGGAGCAGGCAGCTGCTTTATTGGCTGCTTGGGAGTTGCTTTCTTTGGAGCAGGCTTCTCTAGAGGTTATCGCGTCCCGTGAGTTCTGGCAAAGACTATTGCTGGCTGCACGGCGGCGCCTGCTTTTATACACATCCTCAATGTCGTGTGTGGCAGCTTCGCTTCGTTTCAACCTTCGCCTGCGACGAGGACACACAGGAGGGCTCGCAGCTCGTAGCTCGCAGCTCGTAGCTCGCAGCTCGTTGCTCGTGTTACGAGCGCAGCCCGACGAGGCATGCCACACTGACACACACCCGACAACGACAACGACGAGGCCTGGACTCATCGACGACGACGCTGAAGCAGACACCCAACTAATGAAGGCCCATGGCTGGCAGGGTGGTGAGGGGGCGGACTTCTACCTGTTGCCTGTTGCTGCTGTTGCTGCTGTTGCTGGCCCCAGCCTAACGCTTGGGCTTTTCCACTCAACGTGACTGCTGATGGCTTCCCCATTGTGCGGCTGGCTGATGCCTGATGGACGCCGCTGGTCGGACTTCTGAGCTGCCATCATTGTGCGTGAAGGGGAACGTGATTCTAGCACGTCATTCCACACAGGCATCGCCGTCACCTGAAACTAGTGACAGAGCCAGGAAATCAGCCGCGCATGTGAATGCGACTCACGTGAAGAAATTGGTTATCTGATGCCCAGTGGGCAGCAGAAGTTCGCAGAACTCGTGGCCAAAAATGGGAGTGGAAAGGGAAGGGAATGTGCACCCGGAAGTTATGTATCGTTTGTGGGTAGCATTTGTGCACCTTAACCTTTTGCTTGTTCGGCAGGAAGCTCATGGCCGAAATAGGCAAAGAATTATACAGAAGGATAATCAAGTCTCATTTATTGTTGCTCAAACATTCACACAGAGAGTGTTGAGTGTCCCCCCGCCTGAAATAGATCTGAATGAGGCCACAGGGCTAATCTAATTCCGGATAATGACTGCAATTATGCGCTTAACCCAAGAAAGAGCCAAAGACAAAGCAACCCAAGCCCACATTCCTCCCACCTTCCAGCCACCAACCACCCACTCCCCAAGGCGATTTGTGCACGTTTTGCTAACGCACTGCGGTTATGCACAGCCCGCGAAGAAAGGAATGGATGAGAAAAGATGGGAAAAGTCTTCTAAAAATAAAATCAGCGACGAACGCGGCAAGGACAGCCGCGGCAGGAGAAGCGGCAGCGGCAGGAGCAGCGGCAGCGGCAGCATAATCAGCGAAAATCTTAAAGACAGCGCAAAGCCAAAAGGGAATTGGAATTGGAAAATTCAGTCAGTCAGTGGGTCACACGTAAAGGAGAAGGAAATCTCAACACTCCGAGGAAATGTCACGTATTGGGCTCACTCGACTTTGATTCCGCTTTTGTGGCCACCTGGTGGTCGAGTTCTGGTCACCTCCTGGCATTGGAGGCTTAGGCAATGCGTGCCGTGGAAAACAATGAAAAGTCTTTGTATATTTTTTCATTTCTGTTTAATGTTTACTGTTTGCTGTTTGCTGTGTGGATTGTTCGAGATCGATTGTTCTGGCAGCTCTCTCAGAGGAGGAATGGGGTTAGCGACAGGGCGCCGATGCCCACATCGAGGGCCCCGTATCGGTGTCCTGCAGCATAGGGATACCGATAGGGATACGGCCCACCCGGACTGCTGTAGTAGTGGTTGGAGTTGGAGCTGGAATAGTAGCCGCCGCCAATCTGATAGGGTCCTGCTGGTCCTGCTGGTCCGCCGTAGTAGCTGTTGTAGTAGGGTCCTGGTCCCACGTAGGGCTGCGGCTGCTGGTAGCTGACACCAAAGGAGACCAGCGGCTTGGCCTTGACGCAGGTGCTGGCCATCAGCAACACCAGCACTAGCTGCTGCTGCAACGGTGGGGCAAAGGGGCACGTTAAAACACTGTCAACAAGTCGATCGACGAAAGGATTTGCCTACCCAAAGATTCGAGTAATTGCGCATTTTGTGCGAACCTGCAAACTGCGTCGTTGGATGTCTTGATTCCTTGATTCCTCTCCGGACCACGGGCCACTCTGCTCTGAGCTCTGCCTTGCCTTCCTGGGGGCCTTTTATACATATACTCGTAGTGTTCTTCTGTATTCAGTGGGGACTCAACATGGGGGACAACAGGCAGCCAAAGCCTGTTTTCATGGGTAAACGGCTTGGCAAAGGCTTGAGAGTTCCATTCTGTCCATTCTGGTTTCTGTTTGTTCTGGTTTTCGGTCACGAATCACGAAGCTGCCATCTGCAATCTCTCTCTCTCTCTGTTCTGCTCCCCTGCTTGGTTGGAGAGTGTAAGCTTGTTGTTCGCATAGATTTGCCTGCCTGTTGCATGTGGCATGTTGCATGTGGCATGCCTGCCTGCCAGGGATTTCCTCAACCATTAATTGGACATTGAAAAAAACCTTGAACTGGCTCATGGACTCATGCGGAGCAATCGAAGCTGAAGCTGAAGCATTAAACTTGTTTGCAGAGCGAGAGAGATGTGCAGTAAGCTGATATTGATGCCACACGATGCTGCATGCCCCCACTCCCAGTGGCATCCACTGGGCAGAGGAGTCGCTTCTAATTTGCTGTGCATAAGGTCCAATCTCTGGCTCTCGTAATCATAAATCTTTGCCATAATTGACCACAGAATACACTTTGTTAATTGCTGTCGAGTGGGGGGTGGGGAGGTTGGGACTCTTTCTGTATGGATAGTTCTTAGAGTTGGGATGTGGGGTGTCTGTGGAAGTGTTTGCCCATGGGAATTAAATTATTCAATGCCTTAAATAAACAATGGCAAATACTTGTATTATATTTTAGTGATTTTTTAGCCTCTTTGATTAATATTCATTTATTTATAAAATTTTTAATGTAATATCTTTCTCGTTACAGGCACATCGATGAGGATTTAGGCTCCTGGTGAGTCGCATTTTTAATAAATTCTTCCCTGAAATGCCCAAAGTACGCCCAAACTTCAATCGAATCGTTTTCTGCAGTGTATCAACCAATCAGATATTAATTAATTCACGATAATTAGATTAGCAATTGGTTTCCGGTTTTGGCAGGGAATCTTTGCGTGCGAGAGATGCATGTGGGAGGGGATGCCATGTGACCAGCCTGGGGTCACCAGTCACGTTCCCTCCGCCGCCAGCACACACACGTCGCAGCGTCAAAAGTTGTGCGCTGCTGTGCGGTCACATTGCAGTCATGGGGTCGCTTCTAGGGCTTCTCTGGCCTCCGCTGGTGACGTGCGACATGGCAGGGCGCCCCGCTTAATTTGTTGCCACTTTCGAGAGTGGATAAATTTAGACGAGCCTCCACTTGCCACTTAGCAGAAGGTGGCATACAGGTGAATAACTGCAAAGAGCAGGGAACTTCATTTTGGGGTCATTCGATACACTACTCGCAGTAGCAGTGGCAGGGGCAAGGGCAAGGGCAGCCATTGAGCCATTGAGCCATTCCATTCATTGTTTCGGGGATCGGGGATCCATCCAACAATGGCAGGCTGAACCCCAGGTTCAACAGACAGCGGGTCAGAGGGTCTGCTCTCAGGGAAGTCTGCCACAGAGAGAGACAATGACAATGATAATGGTGGGCTAAGGGGGGATAAGCCACAGTTAAACACTTGCGTTGGGAGTGGACAAACTTTATTCAAATTTCACTTGGTTACGAGATGCGGCAGGGAGAGACAGCTATTTGCTCTCTCCCACTCTCTCTCTCTCTGTTCAATAGAGATACTCATAGGTCAGGGGCTTGTATTCGCTGCGGTACTGCTGCTGGAAGGAGTTGGGAGTCGCCACGCTGTGGTACAGATGCGATTCGGCAGCCGCAGGAGCCACCAGGCGGGAATAGGCCAGCGGCAGGACACCCGCTGCACGGGCATAGGTCGACGGATAGTATCCGTACGATGGGGTATAATAGGTGTAGACCTCGTGGCCGAGAGCCAGACTCAGCAGACAGGCAAAAATCAGCTAAAGTTGGGATGGAAACTGCCATTAGAAGGGGTCGGAGGAACACTCCTAGTCGGTGGTTCTCGGAGCACTTACCAGCTTCATTTCTATCGCGTTGCAACTCCTTGGGACAGTGATCGCAAACTGAATCCCTGCCGCCAGATGGATGGGCCTTTTATAGCCCAGAAACCACACAAAGAAACCCAGAAACCTTCACTTTGGTGCCGCTCTTGGTATTGGTATTGGTATTGGTCTTGGTGTCCAAGGTCAAAGGCATTTGCCAGCAGCGGAGCAGGCGGCAAATGAAAGAAGCCCTTAACTCACTTTGAATGGCAAAAGGAATGGCAAAAGGAATGGCTGGGAATGGCGCAGCAATTGCAATTGCTGCCACAGAGCGGACTGCTGCAGCAGCACAGGGAAACTCGTTCGTCGTTCCCTGCCACTCAGAACTCAGAAATCTGATTCGAATCGGATTGTGTTGAGTCGTGAGTGTTCCCCTGACAAGATAGTCAAGCATGCCACATAAACATACATACATACATACATGGATGAGGTTGTCACTCCTACTCCTACTCCCACTCCCACTCGTCCTCCTGCTGTCCATGGCCTTGGCCTAGGCCAAGGCGTTTATTTACTTCCCTTTATAGGCCTTTTGGTGGGTGGGGTGTATTGGTGTAGGTCTTGGTGTTGGTCCAAAATAAACAATTAAATGAGCCTGCCACAGAGACGCACTTCCGGTATTTTTCCTTCCTTTTGGTTGAGAGGCTTTCAAGGTCAGCGCGAGAATGAGGCTGAGGGTGGCAGTGGGTGTCAGTGGGTGTCAGTGGGTGACAGTGGGTGCCAATTGCCAAAAATTGCGATGTTGCCTCTGCTTTTCTTTGTTCGCAAGTTCCATAAACAAACTCCCACGCCTAAAATCAATTAAATGAGGTTTTTGTTTATACCGAAAAAGAATTCTGTTGATTGTTTTTCCGCTCTTGTTTTTTTGGGTAAGCTGTTGATTTGTTTACTGTGTAGAACTACGCAGTTTTGCAGCAGCATCGGAGAGCATTTCCCAATCAGACCGAGTCGCAGCAGAGGTGCTGCAGTGGTGCAGCGGTTTAGTGGTGCACTTTTCAGTAATTCCAAACCAAAGTCAGGCGAATGGTAGGTGGAAATATGAGCCGCTTTAAGAGACTTTGCAGTCTCTTGGTGGCATCAAGGTCGTTGGGTGATTGGTCTGGCTTCTTGGCTGCTGCTTCTGGGGGGGGTTTTCGTTATAAAAAGCCGCCACGCGCTGAACAAGCCATCAAGTCTGCTGACAGCTGCTCTGCCTCCAAGAACCCCAGCCAACGCCCTATCAAAATGTTCAAACTGGTAAGATATTCCCTTGAGGATCATCCTGGGGATCAACTTATCAGGAAATCATCTTCCTTTTAGTTCGTTTTCCTTACGCTTTGCCTGGCCCTCGCCTGCGCCGCTCCGGGCCTGCTGCACTCGTCCTCGCCCATCCTGACCACCTCGTACCACAGTCTGCCCTCGGTGCGGGTGATCAGCAGCCCCATTTGGACCCACTCCCACAGCATTGTGCGCCCCCTGAGCTACGGCTATGGCCATGGCTGGATCTGAGGATCTGAAGGGATCGTCAGGCAGCCGACAGACAGCCGACAGACAGCGACGACTGTCCCCTGAAGCCACAAAATAAAATTGTGAAATTGGTTTGAATATTTTCGAGTGTTCCTTTATGTGTGAGAATCGGGTAGCAGGGCAGGAATCTACGTATAAAAGGAGATGCATGGGCATATCTTGGGCTTAGTTTTGGGACAGCAACTACGAGCATGTGGATGTGGTGTGTAAGTCGGTGCTGTTTAGCCCATCTGGCTCTTGATGCTGAGAGTGATCTTTCCAGTTGCTGTTGATCTTTCTGCCTCTGCTGCAGCCAGGCCTCAGTCAGCCTTTGTCGATTCTCATCTCTACGGGATTTGGCCGGAACTTGGACCTCAATCAGGAGACGGAAGACTTTCTGTTCATTGAAGATCCCGCCAAGGGGTACTCCCCCAATGATCTGTTTGGGGATGTGCAGAAATTTTTCATTGGCGTCCATCAGTTTTTCCTGCATAGCTCGCTCAATCCGCTGCAGAGCAATGCGAAAAAAACCCACAAGAAGCAAAAGCAACCTCTATTCGTAGGTCAGAATATAAGCCTCAATCCGTTTGGCAATTTTTCTTTCAATTTGGGACTGTCCCTCAATTTCCAGCTGACGAACAGCATTGGCTTCACGCGTACCTAGCAGCTACTCTCGCTGGCTGTCGGGCAGACTCGTGAAATTAAAAATAAATAATAAAATTAAAGGGAATTACATCCCTTCCTGAAAAGTCGTTTGACGTGTTTCATGTAGATGGGGCAGCATAAAATGTGCAAATAAATGTGCCTTGCCTTGCAGCAAAACATTTTTCCTACTAGGGAATATTTTCAATTCCGCCTAGAAGTATGCACCAATTCTATACGCTTGGTTTGCGTAGTATGCATGTAGATTGCGATTGGGAGAAACTCTCTGTCATATTTTAGAGAATTTTCATAGGAAATTCAGCTGAAATTCAGCCAAAACAGTGATCTAATAATTATCTAGCTCCCCCGCAATGTGCAGTAATTATTTGCTAGTTACATATATCCATGCTCTATCATGGAACTGCCACAAAGCAAAGGTTCGCCTTCCCCGCCCAGCTAGTTATTAATAAAATTTGAATTAAATGGAAGTTTTGCATAATGTGGCAAACAAATAAAATAAATGCTATTCTGTTGTGTTCAGTTCTCGCTGTGTCATTTCCCTCTGCTCTGCTCTGCTTGCCTCTGCTCGACTCTGTTCTGTTCTATTCTGTTTGTGAGCTGTCGCAGATTACGTATACGCTATGGAGTCTAATTTTAAATGTGGCACGTTGCATTGTCTCAATGCGTGTTTCTCTGATAAATGTCGATTGTCGCACGCACACAAAACATGTGTACGCGCCAAGGATAATTAGCCACGTTATCTGCTCTGCCTGGACGGTGCAGCTTGCATTTGTATGGGAAATAATACGCCTGAATAGTTCGGATATTTGCAACAAATAAAAGGCAAATACAATCTGTGCTTTGTCTTGCGGTTGCTTCATTTACTATTGTGTTTCTATTTATACGGAAAATTACTAAAGAATAGTTGACATCTTGCATGGAAGTGGATTCCTATAGGTGGATGCCTCCCCTGGCACAATCCACTTCTTTTTTTTGGCATCTACAAAGTAGTTCTTGAGGAGAAAAGATGTCTTGTCTGACTACATCCCATCACATATCCTTCGAGCATATATTTCTTTGCGACTATTTGCAGCTGTGTTTGCCCACAGAAGAAAGAAGGAAAAAGATATTGGCAGTTCTCGTTTGATTAGAGTTTATTTCAGTGACATGGCGGGGACTCGTTCGATTTCCGTTCCGGCGGCTACAGGTGGGCGGGTGGCACTTCCGGTGTGTTCTCTACTTCTTCAGCAGGAGGGGGGCGGTGTAGGCGGCAGCGGCGGCATAGGGAGCTGTGTAGGCGGCAGCGTAGGGGGAGGCGTAGGTAGCGGTGTAGGCAGCGGTGTATGGAGAAGCGTAGGCGGCAGTGTACGGGGAGGCGACATAGGGAGATGCCACATACGGAGACGCCACGTAGGGGGACGCCGCCACGTAGGGCGAGGCAGCCACATAGGGGGCGGAGTAGGCCAGGGGAGACACGATGCCGGGCTTGGCGGCAACGCAGGCAATCAGAGCGAGGACAACGGCGGCGACGAACTTGAACATCTTGGAGGATTTGGTTTTTAGATTGTTTTACTTGTTGAATGGAACAAATGCAACTGATGCCCAAACAGGCGGCGGGCCGCAGCTTATATAGCCAGCCACATATTGGAAGTGCCTGCCAAACGGCCTTGCAAGGTCTCAGCCGAATTCTGTGCGGGGGCCCCCTCTTTGGCCACGCCAGTCACGTAGCCGCCGCCCAGTGGGTCGACACAAGCGACTCCAGTGTCGTGGTGTGTTGTGGGGAAGTCTCTTTTAATTAAGTCCAAAAATTAATACAAACCTTTGGGTTGCCGTTTTGGTTTTTCTAACTGTCGAAGGCTGACTGCAGCCAGCGGCAGCCAGCGGCAGGCAGCGGCAGGTTGGAATTTCTGGCTATAAATTAACGCGCTCAGGCAGCAGTTGTCATCAGTTCAGTTCGAAACACTCGACAGTACAACCAGCCCAATCCACTCAACATGTTCAAGTTCTTCGCCCTCGCCTTCGTCGCTCTGGTTGCCTGCGTCTCGGCCAAGCCCGGAATTGTGGCGGCACCGCTGGCCTACTCTGCTCCCCTGGTGGCTGCTGCCCCAGCGGCTGCTGTTTACAGCCGGGAATATCACGGCAACTTTGCGGCACCCTATGTGGCAGCAGCAGCCTCTCCCTATCTGGCAGCAGCATCTCCGTACGTCGCCTCGCCCTATGTGGCATCTCCCTATGTGGCAGCAGCATCTCCGTACGTCGCCGCGCCCTATGTGGCATCTCCCTACACCGCTGCCTACAGCGCAGCCCCCTTTCTGCTGAGGAAGTAGATGCTGGAACCGTCCAACAACAGCTGAACCGACTGAAAGACAACTCACAATGAATTGCAGAAGAATATGGAAAATATAAAGCATCAGAAATGAATGAATCTCGTTCGTGTTGGGTGGGGTGGGGGTGGGGGTCTGCTATCGGGAAATGGGTTGGCTTCAAGGTCTTTGGCTTGAACTTATCTGCGAAACAAAGGCTACGGGCTGCAGGAAGTTCTGCCCCGACGTCACCAGGCGATAAGAGAGCTCCCGAGTTCATTCTATTGCATTGCATTTTATTCAGAGATTCTTTGAGAGAGAGGGAGACTTAAGTATCGTAAGATTGCTATATCTAAAATTGAGTTTGGGATGCCTCACAGCGTCAGGTTGGCATCCATTGTGGCATTCGAATGGAACACAATGCTGCTGCGATTGTAGCGCCCCGAGCGACGCGTCTTCAGATACTTGAGGGCGACCAGAGCGATCAGACCCACCAGGACGAGGCCCCCGAGGATGTTGGCAAAGACCTTCATGAAGGCCAGATGCAGCTCCAGATTCTGGGAGTGGGCGCCCACCAGCTCCAGCTGCTTGGACAGCGCCCTGATGTGCGTCTCGAGAGCTGATTCCTCGGCGGTGAAGGAGGCGTTGATCGCCAGCAGCGACTGGCTGATGCAGGAGACGTCGCGGATGTGCGGTGTCTCCTCGAGGCTGTTGTCCGGCTCGATGTTGAGGGTCACCGACTCGGGCAGCGAGGGCGGGATGAGCAGGCGGTGCAGATAGGAGCAGTTGAAGCGGTTACGGGACACTCCCAGCTTCTGGAGCATCGGAAAGGCGTCGGCGAAGGTGCGATTGCCCTGCAGCTCGCTCAGCGCGTTGCCGTCCACCAGAAACTTCTTGATGTTGGCCAGATACGGCACGAACATGTCCAAATTGAGGCTGGTCATGTTGTTGAAGGAGAGATCGAGCTCCTCGAGGTACTTCTGCTTGGAGAACATTCCGAACTTCAGTTCCCGGATGCCGTTTCCGCGCAGGTTAAGGCTGCGCAGCCTCTTCAGCTGGGCAAAGGTGCTGATGTTCAGCTGTCCGATGGGATTGTCGGACAGATCCAGGTAGAGCAGGGACGTGAGATTCGTGACGTTGGCGATGCTGTGCAGGCGGTTGGCGCTCAGCTCGAGGGTCTCCAGCTGCAGGGACTGGTGGAGGATCAGCTGGGAGATGGCGTTGTGGCTGGCGCGCACGAAGCGCGTGGCGTTGATGGTCAAGTTCGTTAGCTGGTTGTTGTCCAGATGCAGCTGGTGGACGATGCTCTTGTCGGTGAGCTGGAAGTCCTTCAGCTGGTTGAAGGACAGCATCAGGCTCTCCAGGCTGGCGGCCTCTGCGAAGGTGTCCGGATGGATGCTCACCAGCTGGTTATTGGACAGATTCACCTCCTTGATGCGCCGCATGCCGCTGAACACCTCCGGCCGGATGTACGTGAGGAAGTTCCCCTCGAAGGAGACATTCTCCAGGTACTCGTTGTCCTTGAAGATGTCGTCGTGCAGCTCCCGCAGTCGATTGCCGGTGAGCAGCAGCTTATTGATGATCTGCAGGCCGCAGAAGGCGTTCACGCTCAGGATGGAGATGTCGTTGTAGGACAGATCGAGTCTCATCAGCGAATTGGCTCCAATGAACACCGATGTCTGGATGGACGTCAGGTTGTTGTAGCTCAGATTCAGATACGTCAGATTGCTGGCCGCACTGAAGGTGTTCCGCGTAAGCTCCAGGATGTTGGTGTTCGACACATCGAGCGTCTTGAGGTGGGGAAAGGTCTCGAACAAGTGGAAGGGCATGTAGAGCAGCGTCGATTCGTAGAACTTCATGAACTTGACCATGTTGCCCGCCGGCACGTTCTTTATCACCACGTTCTGGCTGTGGGTGACCATGAAGCCCGTCACCGTGCAGAAGGCCTCGTTCACGTCCATGTAGATCATCGGATCGAATTCGTCGCACCTCAGATTGATGTCCCCAGCACTGGCCGCCGCGAACAGCATCCACAACACGATCATCTTTCGGAGCACTCTAATATCCATCAACATCATCATCATCGCGAACCGCTCCGTTTCAATGCAAATTTCCAACTGTTTTGGAGGCTGCAAAAATGTTTCGCTGCATATGGGATATATAATGCTATATATGGGCAGATATCGCTCTCCCCCAGATAGTTCTCTGCACTGCAGTAAGTCTGACTTGCGGAACTGACTTGCGATACAAATTGTCGGTCTCTTGTCGGTTTGTTTTGTTCATTTTCATTTCTCTGCCTTTTGTTATTGATTCCAGACATACATGGATTGCATTACTATACGAGTACGAGTACGGATAGTACATACATACGTGTACATATGTATATGGTCAAAATCGCAAAAAACAAAACCACGCCAAAAACTATTTGTTTTTCCCGATTTCGATACTGCAACATACGTTAAACACGACACCTATTGTATATATGTATATAATATATAATAATATTAAAAAACAAATTATTGTTGACTTGCTTAACAACATTTTCTGAAAGCAACTTAATGAAATATTTGAGCAAACAAAATGTTGGCTGCATTTGTAATGCAAAAGAATTCTACGGAAATATTCGGTGCAACGTAACAGTCCCAGATTATTGAAAGTTTTCTGTGTAAAATATATTGCATTGGCATAAAAAAAAAATATTTACTTTATTAGTGCCAGCTCAAAGCTGCAAAGTATTCAAACAGAAGAGCAGAATTTTTCGAAAGTGTTGCGCAACTGGAAAACCCACTTCCAAAATTGTGCAACGTACGAGTCCAGTTGGGACTCTTAAATAGAAAAGCAGAAAAATGTATTTGAACTATAAATGTCAATAAAGATTTAAAGTTTTGAATGCAAATATAATAAATATTAAAAATACACTGTTTCATGTACGATTTAAGACAAATTAAAATATGCAGTGGCGATATATATTTTCCTTGCCAAAATATATATGTATATATACATATATGTATATCGTGTGTGGCTTGAGCTTGAAACTCTTTCCATAGGACAGGAGATACGAACGAGAGAGAGAGAGAGAGGGAAATGACTTTCGACAGTCCATTGAACTTTATTCTGAATTATTATTTATCGTATCTTCTTTTGCATGAAAGCGTTGCATCAGAGAGCCAGATCCAGAGAGAGAGAGAGAGATTAAAAATGCAGCTCGTTAGAGGAGGAACAACAGCGGAGGAGGATTCAAATCGCATTGCATAAATGGAATTGCAACTGCGATTGCGATTGAGAGCAAGTGGCAAGCGTAACCTTGCCATGTTGCATGATGCAAATCGAAATCGGATTAAAGCGGCGGCCTACCCCACACCCCGCAATCGGATTCCATTGATTTCTGGCCAGCTCTTTTGGCTTTTGGCTATTGGCACAAGAGGTTACTCATCATCAGCCAATGCAATGCCCAATTAGCATTGGCAGGTCGCATCAATCACTCCTCCAATCAGCTACTGGCCACTGGCCACTGGCCGTAGACTCACCTTCAGTGCGGCAACAACTTTTATGGGCTCACCAATTGGAACGTGCCCGAAATGCCAGATCGGGGACTCGACCTCCACGAAGCCCCGAAACCGCGGGCACGTAGCCAGCACTCAAAGGCCGCTCCGCTCCGCTCCGCTCCGCTCTGCTCTGCTCTGCATTCCCATGCAGCGTTCGCGTAGCAGAAGCAGTAGAACAATCCGCCCAATCCAATTCCATGCGAATGTGTGCCCAGAAATTCAACCATCAAAAATCGAAAAGTGTCTCGGGGTCTGCTGTCTGAGGGTATAAAACCACAGCTGACCACTCGATCAATTATAGTCCAATTTGTTTGCTCAAATCACACTAAAGCCCCCTCCCAACTCAGTCTCAACATGTTCAAGCTGGTAAGGATTGCTGCATGCCGGATTGTTGTTCGGACAGAGATCTCTACAAATATCCTTCTCCTTGCAGTCCGCTCTCGTTGTCCTCGTCGCTGCCATCGCCTGCAGTGTGGCGGAGGCCAAGCCTGCCGTTGTGGTGGGTGCTGCTGTTCCTGCGGGTGTGGTGACTGCCACCAGCTCCCAGTATGTGGCACGTAACTTCAATGGAATCGCCGCTGCCCCGATTGTAGCACCAGTGGCTGCCGCCTACACCGCACCTGTTGCTGCCGCCTACACCGCACCTGTTGCTGCTGCTTACACCTCTCCTGTGGCTGCTGCCTACACTGCCCCAGTGGCTGCTGCCTACTCCGCTTATCCTTACTCCGCATATCCCTATGCCAGCTATCCTTATGCCGCTGGCTACACCACTGTCTTGTAAGAGGCAAAAAAGGATCTAAGACGGACTGACAACTGACTTTGGAATGCAATAAAAACACACACAAATCAAACTGAATCTGAAGTATGTCGTTCTTGGGCAGAGTTAACTTTGGATTTTACTAGGAAGTTTCTAGGAAACGGAAAGGGACGAAACGAAGCAATTGGCACACCAAAACTCTGGAGTATCTTTGGCTTTGGTTAGGGATGAACTTAAGTTCTTAATTTGTAGCAAAAGAACTAGCAAAAGAATATGCTAAGCTCCTTCCTTATTCGTTTCCATATGTATTCATATCCGTATCTTGATTGGAGTCATCTACAGCTTCAGGAGTAGCATTTTGATGCTTATTTAAGGATGCCCCATTACTCCTGCCACTCCTGGCACTCCTGCCACTCCTGCCACTCCTTCCACTCCTTTCACACTCTCGTCATCAGTCATTAACCAATGCGGAAATCATCTAGAAAGATGCCAAATGACTTGCGTCATCGCATGCAAATTCTGTGCCTCGAAATACACTCGAATACGAGTATACGAATATAGATACGCGCGGCAAGCAAACATCTTTCAGTAGGACAAGCACGTGTCGGCCGTTTCAAACTGAAGTTGCGTCATGCCGCCAATCAGAGAGACAGAGGCCAGAAATGTGTGTTAGAATTCGAATATATATTCACAGAGCGAAAGAGACCGAGAGAGAGAGAGAGATGCATCTTGGGTCTAATTATAAATCGTATATTTCCAATAAAAACAAACAAAACCGAAACAAACGTCAGATATAACAAATAATAAACGAACATTCAACAAGAAGAGCCACAGCCGTGTCCGGCAGTTAGGGCCTTGACTTTAGGCTGACTCATGGTGCTGTGGCACCAGTAAGTGCCACAGGTGCTGGTGGCACAAGGGGAATGGAGGCGCTGTAGCGTCCGAATGGCAGCCACGCAGCTGGGTAGAACAAGGGATAGCTTGGCGGCGGCACACCCACAACGCCCACAAGAGGTCCGCCCGGTGGTCCTCCCTGTGGTAGTGGTGGTGGCGGTGCAGCAGCAGCAGCTGTCTGTGGCGGCGGGGCAGCCCGATGGGCAGGCGGCACATCCACCTCCTCGGCAGCATCCCGTATCTGTCCCGCCGAGGCAACAGCAGCAGTCAGTAGGAGCAGCAGCATCAGCAGCTGCAGGAGCACCTGTTGATCGTTCATCGTTGAGCAAGTGCATCTTCGTCCTCTCTGGCGTTTGCAGGCGCTTGAAACTTACTAATTTCCTGTATCTGTACATGTCTGCGTAGCTACGTATCTACGTATCTTTTTATCTATATCTTTGTATGGGAATCTGAGTTCTGATTGCTCAAAGTTCTACAAATGAAATGAAACCGCAGCCGGAGATCGGACTGGCATTTATAAACTTCTGGAACCCGGAGGTACTCATCGGATCCGCTGATCAGTCGCTTAGCCAGTGGGTCAGACGAAGCGAAGACTTGTAGTATGAATACGTACTACCATGAATATCCAGCCATTGATTGACGGATTTGCTGGCTTATTCGTTATTCGAGGCACGATTGCCTGTTCGATTTGTTTATCGTTTTTCGTCACGCGTCTCTCTCTCTCTCTCTCCGAAACGAAACCAAAAGTGCCACGGCAAAGATTCTCCTTCGGTATATGGTATATGGTCTTGGAACCGATCTGAGCGTGGCTCTTGCATACCAATTTCCAGGGATCACCTTCGTTTTTTTTGCCCCGCCATCTGCTGTGGTTCTGCTATATAAATTCCGATGCCGGGGAGCAGCAGATATCAGTCTACTGCCTGAGAACCAACCAACAACAACCAACCAGCCAGCAACATGTTCAAATTCGTAAGGATCGAAGGATAATCCCTGCCAGAGGAGTACTTAATCTTCATTTTCTTCCCTCTTCCTTCTTCTCCCACACAGTTTGCTCTGTGCCTGTTCGCCGTTGTGGCCTGTGTGGCTGCCAAGCCCGCGGTGATTGCTGCCCCACTGGCGTACAGCGCCTACTCCTCCCCCTTGGTGGCTGCCTCCCCCTACTCGTCCGCGTACACCGCCGCCTACACTGCCCCCGCCTACGCTGCCTACTCCGCTTACTCCGCATATCCCTATGCGTCTGCCTACTCCGCATACCCCTATGCCGCCTACTACCGCTAATCGGAGACGGACTAAGGAGAGGATCATCCTCCCACTGGCATGACTGGCAACTGGACCCCCACCCCGCAACAATATGGATACACCTGCACCACCACTGCACTGCACCACCTTCACCCTCAGCCGAGCGACTCTTCTCTTCCCCCCCACACACAAACTGAAAGTAAACAATCGGGAACAGGACCTTCTGCACACAGGAATATACACTATCATTGTTGAAATAAATAATTTGCATTTTGCGTGAAACGTAAACAACATTTTGGTTCATTTGATCGACAAATAATTCGTGGGGTGTCCATCCATGGAAGGGTTTGTTCAACAGGAGATTCTTATGGACTGAACATTCCAGGGTTAAGAGCAGCTCTCGCTATCTCCTTCCTTCCTCCTTGGAGAAAATATTCCCAACTTCTTTAGTGAGTTAGGAGAACATCATCCTCATTCTTATGATCTGTAAGGCATTACCCAATAAATAATATCTCCCAATTGTGTTTATTGACACAAATATGCTAATTCCAAGTGTTTGTATGTGATTATCCCAGAGATCTTGGTGAAATATTAATAGGAAGGGCTCTTCAGGCGATTGCTGATTTACTGCCCAAAAGATAAATAATTCATTTATATACTTATTTGGTCTTTATCCTAGTGCCACAAGATTTACTTATATTTAAGGCACTAGTTACAAAAATTATTTTAATCTTAAAATGTAAAGATTTTTAAAACATCTATAATCTTATATTAGTATTAGTTTTAATATATGTAAACTTTAATCTTTGAATTCTTGATTTTAATAGGAATATTTTTATTATTTTTGGATTGTTTAATGCGCATATTTATGCGTCGTACAAGATTCATTGACCCCAAATGCTACTGGCACTCGTCTCTCCATTGCCCTCACCTTAACCGAAGGGTTCGATCCGGCTGCGTCCTTCGCTCGTGCGGATAAACCACTTTTCTATATTTTTTTGTTGCATCTCTGATTAGAATGCGTAGCAGCGCATCGCGCATTTAGCATCGAGCAGCGAGCTGCGAGCCTCAAGTGCTTGCCAATGGTAAATGGAAATGCGAGCAAAATAAAAGTAAAATAAAGTTAAGTAAAACCGGAGTTGGTTGAGATGGCAGGCACGTCGCTTCGCCAATGGAGCGGGGGTGTTTCGCGCAGGGAGGGGAAGTGTTAAATTATGATAATTGAATCCGCAGAAGGCAGCTGCTGACGCCAGTGCGGAAATGGCATTGTGGGAGAGGAGCAAACATGCATATACCCACGAAGAGGAGGAATAGAAGAGATATGGAAAGCAGATATAGATAGGATGGGAATGCAGAGCATATAAAAAAACATATCCACTGCCATCTGGGCATATGGACATCTGCTCAATGGCCATGCAAAGTGCGTGTGTAGGCCAAAATGTTGGCCCTGATTTGGCCATGATATCCGTACGTGATGGAAGTGCTTCCATTTAACGTTGTGGCTATCGTCAAGGATGGGCTTTAATTGTTTTGCTCTGGGGCTGGGGCTTCTGACTATATAAACCGTGAGGGGCTGTGGCAAAGATGTCATTCAGAAGTCTAGCTTCCAAGCAGCACAAACAACCAAACCAAACAGTCAGCAAAATGATGAAATTCGTAAGTAAAATTGATCCCTGCTGCCGAAGAAGCTCCCTTCTCATTGCATCCTTTCTCCGCCATTGCAGTTCGCCCTCGTCCTGTGCGCTCTGTTCGCCGCCGCTGCCGCCAATCCCGGACTCGTGGCCTACAATGCCGCCTACTCCGCCCCACTGGCCTACTCCTCTCCCCTGGCCTACACTGCTCCCGTGGCTTACTCCTCGCCTCTGGCCTACACCGCCGCGTACGCTCCCTATGTGGCGCCCTATGCCAGCAGCGTGAGCGCCCACACTGTGGCCCACAGCGCCGCCTTCCCGGCGGTCTATGCCGCAGCTCCAGTTGCCGCTGTCCTGAAGAAGTAGGATGCCGAACGCGTGCCACAGATACAACAAATAAAGATGCAATGCAACAGGCCCACGCGCTGACTGACTGAGAAATATCTTGACTTTTTATTTTCTGTGTCATTCTCTGGTTCATCGACTTTTGGCCACGTTCCGCAACCTAATCCTTGGGCAGCAGCAGCGAGTGTCATTTTTAATTGAAAATTGCGTGCGCCACAGAGTGCCACAGAGTGCTGCAGAGTGCCACAGTTGTGAGGTTGCTGCTCCTTCAACTGCTGCTGTTTGTTTCCCTTTCTGTTGCACTTAATTAAAAGGCGCCGCTGAAATTGCATTTCGTTAATCACAAACAATCAATAAGCCAAAGGCACCACGCCCCTTGCCACGGTTCTGTGCCCCCCTCCCCCATCTGTGGCATTAATCATACCGTGCCGCTTGCAACCGGCAACCGGCAACCGGTGAACAGTGTAAAATGGCAACAAAGTCTTTGGAGCCCGGAGAACGACATTTAACTGCGACTAAATTTGCAAATTAAATCTAGTCTTTGACTCGCGTTGATGGCAAATTCGTTTCGATGTTTTCAACGCCTTTGAAACGCCTCCCGCCCGGTCCCAGTTACAGTCCACCCTCCTGCTTTACCCTCCTTCTCCTGCTGTGGCTGCTGCTGCTGCAGGTGGGACCAGAGTTCTGGCAACTAATTTACTTGTTGCTGCTGCAGCGCAAAATTAAATTAAAATCTTTGGTCTCGACGACCACGCCTCTACCGAAACGCGTGGGCGGGGAGGGGGAGGATTTTTAATTGCTGAAGCCCCAGAAAATGCATTTCCCATGGAAACACAAGCACAAAGTGTACCCTGGAGTGAGTACCCTGTACTAAAATGCTGTGGGCGTATATTTGTGCGTGTGTTTGCTAAGTCACGTTGCAACCCCACCCAAGGGCAGGGGCAGCCATACATAAATACAGGGTAACTCCTTGTTGAATAGCTTAAATTTTGCATTCAATTTTGGAATCAGTTTGGGTAGTTTAAGGTGAATTTCGATGCTGTGTCAGTAACTTTTATGAACAAATTAACTGAAGGTAATTCCTAGTGGCTGCACTGCTCTTAAATCTATGATTTTGATGGAGTTCTAAATTTTTGTTTGTTGAATTAAAAGATTTATATTTAATCTCCCTATCCATAATGTGTTCATTATTTATAGACAAATGACTCTAATTATATTATTGTTTTATTCTAATTATTCTTTGCAGCTCTGATGTAATTTATGTTCCCTTGAAAGGTATGTTCTAGTCGACTAAATTGAGCGTTGTTATTGCATTTATTTTGTGGTTCTATTTAAGTATTTTCTAACCTATTTAATGCAATTATCCAAATGAATATCCTATGCTAAACTGTGCAGGGTACTCCACATTCGTATAGGTATAAAGCTAGCATGTTCTGCCCCTGCTGCAATTAGTTTAAATTCGCATAAACTTCTAGGCCTACGATGCGTGTATCCCATGCGATAATTACCCTCTGCTGTGGCTGCTGCTCACTGCACATGACTCCACTCCACTTAAAGTGCGAGTACTCGTAGCGTAGTGGCCGCAATCTTGTCTAATTGACAGACAAACGATACGATACGATAAGCCACAGAGAGGGAGAGGGAGAGGGAGAGAGAGAGAGAGAAGTAAGCATTGAAACGATTAGAACTTGTTGCTCGATCAATTATAATTATCGGAGACATCAATAAACCAACGAACGGAGGGACGGACTGGGGCCCCCCCACCGAAAACAAAAACCCGATCCTCGACCCGGCATCCGCCAAGCCAAGCCAAGCCAAGCCAAGCGCTCGAGTTTCAACCTGTGGAGCCCAATAAATTGTGTGTGTTGTGATTTAATCGCTGTGTTGCTCTGTTGCTCTGTTGCCGTGTTGCACAAGTGCCACAGAATTAATTGACAGCGATTTTTCGCACTGTGTAGATATCAGATGTGCGAGTGGAGCCGGATCTGTAGGGGCTGCTACTCCTAATTGAAATGCGTCGCCTCAGAGATTTACAACCGCATTGCGCACAGAACAGACCATAAGTCTGGTCATCGCCCACTCTACGTCGAGTAAATGTCGCGTATACGAGTGTACATATATGCAAATCTCCTTCGAGTTACGCGTACAGCCAGAGGAGAACTCCTCCCCTTTTTCCTTTCCATTTAACCGCAGGCCTCATCGGCGCAGGCTGAGATTTACGCATTCAATTTTGGGGTAGAGCCCAGGCGCACTGTCGCCTCCCATTCCTGGCCACCCTGCCCCTGCCCCTGCCCCTTCCCCTCCATCGAGCGGAGAGTGTTAAGTGCAACAGTCTTGCGTAAAAAAGTGTGTCCAAAAAGTGTGGCATGGAGTGGGTCGCTCGCTCGCTCGCTCGCTGGATGGCAATTAAGTGGCAGCCAGAGCTCCCATGAATTATGGCATAGCCTCTCCTCTCTAGCCTGACCTTGCCCACGCCTCTGCCATTTATCGATCGATCGATCGGTTATTGTTCGAGAACAATACTCGCATGGTGCGAGTATGTTGATCTGGCTTTGCCCTACATTGGGTCACAGCGGAGTCCGGTTTGGCAACAGCCTCACGCACAGGTGTGCGCCCCAGACACGCCCCACAGCCACAGATCTGTGGCATAATTAAGACTTTTGCTGGCTGAGCATTTAGAGCAGAAATTTCTACAATTTCGAGTGCGGGTTGGGAGCAAAGGGGAAACTTGTTAACTGCTTAAAAACAAAACAAAAACCCAAGAAAACAAAATGCAATTTAAGTTTTTCTCACACACACCTCTCACAGGCCCCCCCACACCCAACCCCACCGCGACTGCACTCCACTCCACTCGACGCGACTTAACGGCAGCTTTTGGCAAATAAAAATATATCAAAAATTATTCAAAGCAAGCCAAAGGAAGGCTCGGGCGTAATGGGGCGAAGTGTTTGATACACTTTCAGATTGTTCAGATTGTCGATTAACTGTTGCAGCATTCAGCACTTAAATGCTTACAGAATTTAGGCAAAATCATGAGAAATCGAAGGATGTGTGCCTCCCCCTAGAACTCTTCCTTCTGTGTGTTGCCGAGTGATGAATACCCTTCGCCAGGGTATATCCAAATCTCAGTCCCCGCCAAACATCCGGATTGGATGGGGCGGGGCGGGGCAGGGCGAGGCAAGGCAAGGCAAGGCAAGGCAGTTCTCTTGGGGCTCGGGTCCCGGGCCGCGATCTCCATCTCGATACCAGCTTTGCATGTCTCTCTCTCTCGCTCTCTCTCGCTCTCTGTGTCTGTGCCAGAGTCTGTGTCTCTCGCTTCCATGCAACAAAAGTAAAAGTGCATTCGGTCTCCATTTGTGGGTCTCTGGGTCTGTGGGTCTCCGAATCCGTTCGTTCTCGTGCAACATTTTGGGCCAGTCTTTGGGCTATAAAAGCATTTGTGCCTCAGACAGCGGCATTATTCAGCTGCGTGTTCTTGCCACGACTTGACTCCACAACCCACTCAAAATGTTCAAATACGTAAGTCGGAAATCCTTTTGGCAGGGATCTACTCTACCCTCTAATCGTTGCTGCTCCTCCCTCCCGTTCGCAGTTCGTGTTCGCCGTCTGCTGCCTGGCCAGTGCTGCTGCCGCTCCGGGATATCTGGGCGGATTGGGTGCTCCGTCGTTGCCGCTGGCCGCCGCTCCGGCCATATCCTACGGCCATGCACTGTCCGCTCCAGCGTACAGCCATGGCCTGACCGGCCCGTCGTATGCCTCCTATGGCCTGGCTCCCAGGATTAGCTACGCCGCACCCGCGCTGGCACACGCTCCGCTGGCTGCTCCGGCCATCTCTGCCTACGGACTGGGCCCGAGGCTCAGCTATGCCTCGCCAGCCCTCGCCCACGCCCCTCTGGGCTTGGGTCCTGCTCCTCTGGGTCTGGGTCTGGCTCATGGTCCCTTAGGCCTGTCTCACGGTCCCTTAGGACTGTCCCACGGTCCGCTGGGCGCTCCCCTGGGCTTGGGCTACAAGTCGATTGTGGGACCCTCCCTGGCTGCTCCTTCCTACGGCCTGGCCCATGGCTGGTAAACGGCTGCAGATGCCACCTTCCAGCATTTCCATCGTTCCCAACTGGAGAGCAGAGAAGAGGGAGATCTCCTCCTTAAATTCGTGCTACAAAAACAAACCCAAAAACATTGTTAAAGAGTGAATTTGATGTTGAATTATATATTTCGTTTCCATTTCAAAAGTATTCTCTTTCATGTGTGGAAAATATCTTTCAGATGCACCCAGGATTCGCCAAAGAAAAGGCTCTCCCACTTGTTGTGTTTGTTCAGGTCAGATAAATTTATTCAATTGCTCGAATGGCTGAGTGATTGATTGATTAAGGCTATTGGAGTATTTTGTGTATGACTCGATTCGAAACTCTCACATGTTGCACGCTCGCCTTGACTCTGGTCGGACTTTAGTCGGTGGATATTCTACCAGCCGTGACCGTAGCCATAGCCGCCTAGAGACAGGCCGTGTCCTCCGTAGAGGCCGTGTCCGTAGCCCCCCAGATAGCCATGACCCAGACCGATTCCGTGGCCCAGACCCAGACCCAGCCCGTAGCCGTGGCCCAGCCCGTAGCCACCATAGCCGCCTAAGTAGCTCTTTCCGATGATCGTCTTGGTGACGATGGGCGCGTGGTATCCCAATCCCAGGCCCAGGCCCAGGCCCGATACCCCGTGGAGTCCGCCATGGTATCCGCCATAGTGGCCGATGTCCAGGCCCAATCCCAGTCCGATTCCTCCGTAGCCATGTGCCAGGCCAAGCCCAATGCCAGATGGAGCAGGAGCAGGAGCGGGGGCAGGAGCTGGCGCTGGTGCTGGTGCTGGATCGGGGGCAGGAGCTGCCAGTCCTCTCGTCGTCAGGCACAGGACAGTCACGAGTATCAGCTGAATGGAGGACAGGATTAGAAACGGGGGTTAGATGGGTATCCTGTGGAGGGGGTCCTCCTCCTACTTACTCCCTTCATCATGTGGCTGCTTGGTTTCTTTCTTTGCTCGTGTCTGCTCTGGGGACTGGCGATCCAACAATGTTGCTGCAGTTGCTCCGTGCCGCGCGCTTTTATACCAGTCCCCCAGCTGCACTCGCGTCCTGCCCAAAATGGCCATCGATGATCTAATGAGCACTCCAAATGGCCAATCTAATTCACTTCCAGTTAGTGTCGCAGTCCAAGCCTGCCGCCTGCCGCCTGCCACTTGCCACAGAGCCATCCCTGGCCACGTGCTGACGTCACACGAAAGCAAGTTGCATGCGAGTTTCGCTTTTGGGCCTCCTCCATTGTATAATCTGCGAGCGGTTCGGTTCGGTTCGTATCGGATCTGATCTGGTTTGGCATTTACTGGTACCTGTACCAGTTCCCCATTCACCAGTCGCCTCTTGGCCTGTGGGGACAGCAGCTCGGAAATCTGCGAACTGGAATCTGGTGGGTGGCCTTTTGCAGCACCCATTCATGGGGCAGCAATCAAAAGATTTTGACTGAGAACTATCAGTGCGGATTGAGGTCAATGCGCCCCCCCCCAAAGGCACCCATGAAATACTCAGTTTAGACTCATTTCTGGATGCTCTTTCTTCCAGCTGCAGAGGCATTCTGTATCTTTACGATTCATCTGCCATGGAATGCCACTTTGTCGATTGACAAACATGGGCCCAAAGTCTTTGTCCGCCATTCCCTCAAGGGTATACACACATCCATCGATTAGGGGCTATAATTTATGCTTAAAGAGCAAACAGAAATCTCAGCCAAATAAAGCCAGAGACTAATCAATTCTTTACACCTCCAAAAAGCGATCATTGAATGAGTGAATGATTGGGCAACCGATTAATGACTTCATAGACAATGGAAGCGGAGAAACAAAGCCACCGACGGAGACGGAGACAGAGACATAGGTGGAGACGGAGACCGACTAACACACAGCTGGCCATAAAAAGCAGAAAGAGAAATGTAAAGCAACAACAACAAGAGATACAGATACGGGTATAGGAGTATCTGTAGTATAATTAAGTGTACAAAAGAGTCACTGACACTTTGACAATTCAGTCCTAAACGTAGTAGACGAGCGAAAGCCACAAGACGGTTTAAACTTGAACTTGAAAACGGGTTTCCGAGGGAGAGAGGATCGGATCGGATAGACTGCAGCGTGTGGCTATGGCTCTGGGGAGAGATGTTGCAACAGGTTCCGAGCATGGGGCATGGGGCTACAAAGGAAGTGCAACCGGTTCCTAACTGTACGATCGAGTAGCTATGGGGAATGCAACAGACCAGAACAGAACCCCACAGAAGAGGGGCCTATAAAATGAGTGGCCTTCAACGGTTCGCGGCTTAGTCCGAGTGCAGTCGCAGCCACAAAAGCAACAAAGGATGAGGGTGAGGATGAGCATGTTCAAGGTAAGCTGGGGGGGTGTGGCATGCATTCATTCTACTCCTCTGATCTCTTATCTCTGTAATCTGTAATCTGTTCTGGGAAGAATTCCATGTGTTTCCTGCTGCTGCTGCTGCTGAGTGCGAGCCTGCAGCTGGGACTGGCCGCCACTGTTATCTACCATCATCATCATCATCCTCCGGTGATCTATCATCAGCCGCTGCAGGAGCAGCATCCTGGCTACACCATTGTGGCGCCCCTCACCAAGATTGCCCATGTCACCTACGACTCGGTGCCCATCTCGCACACCCCCTTCGAGCATGTGCCCCTCTTCCAGCGCATTGGCCATGTGAAGAGCGTCCGAGTGTAGCCAGCAGAGCAATCGCCAGAGGATAAAAGAACTCGCAATAAATAGATTTAAAATGAATTTATTCGCCAGGCATTTCTGCTCTCTCTCTCTCTCTCTCTCTCTCACTCTCTCTGTCTATGTTTATATGGGTGGAATTCGGGCTAAGTTCTACATGCTAATAGGACGGATGGCGGATGGATGGTTCTGCTACTGGGACTGAGTCCTTAGAAGAAGTAGGGAGAGGGGGCGGCGAACTTGGGTCCAACGGCCAGAGGAGCGGGCACTGGAGCCCCGAAAGGGGCCGCGAAGGGGCCAAAGCCGAACTTGGCGGGAGCAGCAAATGCCACGGGCGCTGGTGCGGGGAATCCAGGAGCAGCGAAGCCAGCGAAAGCAGGCGCAGGACCGGCAAAGGCAACTGAAGCAGGAGCTGGACCGGCAAAGGCAACTGGAGCCGGAGCAGGAGCAGCAAAGGCAACTGGAGCCGGAGCAGGAGCCACGGGGTAGGCCACGGCGTGGTTGATGCGATGGGCGTTGAAGCTGGAGGCGTAGGGAGCCACCACAGCAGCAGTGGCCACAGGTGCCGCCACAGGAGCCGCCAGTGGCACAGGGCCGGCGTGGAAGGGCAGCAGACCAGCCTGGGCGGTGGCCACGCAGAGAGCAACGAGCTGGAAGGCAGGAGGAGAGGGAGGAGCATGATATTGATTGTTCCTTTAAGATATCCAGGAATCCTCAAGAGACTTACCATAATCTTGGCGAACATTTTGCTTGGATTGGTTGTGGCTTGGATTGGAGCTGTGTGATTAGCTGGAGGGCTGACTAGGCTTTGATATCGAACTGTCTGCCGATCAATGCTTTTATAATTCTTCTGCCCGAAACGAGTCCGTGGCGGAGCATACGAAAACACCTTGGAAGACTTTCTATATGGGGGCAGTCGAAGGGCGCCCGCCATACGCCATGCGATATGCGTTATGCGAGTACTTAATAATCAATTGGTCGCCTCTTACGTGTATGCCCAGAAAGAGTGCCCTGCCCGGCCCTGCCCGGCCCTGCCTTCACTACGCCTGCCCCTTGGCTTTCATAATTGCACGCAATTCCGGACCGGACCATAACCTAGCCCAATGACCAACAAATGAGCAGCGAACAGCCCCACAGCCCAGCAGCGATATTGGGCAAGATTTCGCTTTGCTTATGACAAGACACCCGCCCCATCAGCCCCCCATTTATTTACCCAAAATACGTGCTACCCCGCTCCCCTGGCTGGCCTCCTGCTTCCATTTAATTGGAATACAATGTTGTTGCTGCCATTTCGTTGCAACAATTGTCGCGTGTGTTGTGTGTCGCTGCTGCTGTCGCTGCTGTTGCTGTGTCTGGAATTTCTGATTCGAATTTTCTTGTTGCGTGCTGTGGAAATCCAGCAACAACATTTCTGCCTGCCCTGCTCTGCCCCTGCCGCAAACACACACCGCTAGCGACCACATTTGGCGGCATTACGACGCGTCTGGTGTGTAATGAGAGATTCAATTGAATCAGATTAACGCCTCTGCGCACATACATATATTTGGGGGGTATTCGCTGTACAATCGTAATTTGATTATTTGTCAAAGCATTCCCAGCTCCCAGAGGCATTTTCATGGATTAAGCTGAGACTTAAAATTATCCTCAAATGGGTTGCTGTTATCCCGTCTATACCCGCCACTCTTTATGCACAAATAAATCAGAATTGCAATTAAATTTGGTTTAAATTTACTATAATTAATCGATAAATTATTGATATTTTACATCGATTTTAATCGTTTGGATTATTTCAACTAAATTATGGTTTGCTGTTTCTTTGGTTAGTTTCGCATGAGGGGCATCCTAGATGCCCTGCAATCCTAGAACAGGGAGTGGTGATGTTTGTGGATCAGCTTCTTCAGGGGCAGGGCACGCAGCTGGGCGTGCTGGTGGTGGTGGTGTGGCTGGGCGAGCAGCTTGGGGAAGGCGTAGCCGATGGACACATGGTGCGTGGTGGTCTTTGGCCCGGGAATCGCACGGTAGCTGGGTGCAAAGGGTGCGGCCTCCAGGACGGGCGGCAGCACCTGGTGGGTTATGGTCAGCTCAGCCGGTGGGGGGAGGAAGGGCGTGGCAGCTGGCAAAAACTGGGGAAGGGCAGCTGGAGCGGGCAAAAGGGGTGCTGGAGCGGGTAGAAGTGGTGCAGTTGCAAATACTGGCGGTGCGGCTGCGTATACAGGTGGTGCAGGAATGAATGAGGTTGGAGGCGGAGGAGCCACGAGAGTTGGGGCAGGGCCAAAGGCAGGTGCTGGAGGTGCAAAGACTGGCGGTGGCGCAGGCGCAGGCAGGAAAGGATCTGCGAATGGTACCGCGTAATCCAAATGATCCGGCACTGCCTGCAGGGGTGCGTGCAGCGGCTCCAAGTGCTCAAAGTGGTGGGGATCGAAGTGATTGAAGTGTGGATTGAAGTGTGGATTGAAGTGCTGATTGAAGTGCTGATCGAAGTGCGCCGAGGGTTTGGCCTGCCCAGCTGCCAAGAGGATCGCCAAAGCGCATGCCTGTCGGAGATAGTCGGAGGTTAGTCCTTCAGTTCCATGGAAGACTCATCGAATCCTTACCCAAAGGAGTTGCCGCATCTTGCTCGGAGTGTTCTTTTCGGGGGGTTCCTGGGATGTGCTCGCCTTGAGCGCTCAGCGATTAATGTCTTTCCATGGTCAGCAGTCGTTAATATTTATAGGGAAGTGGCCGCTGGCCCTGCCCTCTAGCCGATGGCACTTGCATTTCTTCACTTTCCATTTGCCCATTGCCCCCAATGCGGGCGGGGTGCTTCCCGTCGGCCAAGTGGGTCTCTGTGGCTCTTTATGGACTGGACTGGCCTGGCCTGGCCTGGACTGGGTGAGGCAATGGCAATGGTAATCCGCTTTAGTTGGTCAGCGAATCGTGACGGCGGCTAGGGCAATAACTTCTTGGGCGATTTGAAAGCTTGCCTGCCCTCCCCACCCCTCTGATTATATACCCCATGCGCCCATTGACAGTTTCTTCGTTTGAATGCGATTATGATAATCCATAAATCACAGTCCCCAACCGATTTGGGGGTGCCTTGGGTTAGGTGGCAATGCAATCACAACATTCGCTGGTGGGTTAACTTTTTAGTTTCGCATTTAATCAAAAAGTTAGTACTTGAATTGGCTATGATTTAGTTCGAGTTTAGACCACGACTTGGGGAGCAGCATAGGGAGCGGCGTAGGGCGATGCCAGGTAGGGACTGGCGTAGGGGGTGGCGTAGGGAGAGGCGTAGGGAGAGGCGTAGGGGTAGGCAGAGTAGGCAGCGGCAGCTCCCAGGGGAGTGGCATAAGGCGTGGAGTATGCAGCGGCCGTCAGGGGAGCGGAGTACGCAGCGGCAGTCAGGGGAGCGGAGTAAGCGGCGGCAGTCAGGGGAGCAGCAGCAGCGTACCTGGCGGACACCAGAGCGGGGGCAGCCGGCACACCCGACACGTAGCGGCTGGAGACGGGTCCGGCGTACTCGAACGGAGCCGTCGTGTAGGAGGAGAGGGTGCCGTCGTAGTTGTTGCGGACATCCACCTGGCTGCTGCCGCCGGCGGCGGACAGGGGAGCCGTGACCACGGGAGCGGTGGCCAGAGGAACGCCGCCCACAGGCAGACTGAAGGGAGCCACCAGACCGGGCTTGGCCGCGGAGCAGGCGATGAGGGCGGCAATAACCAACTGGAAAGAGAGGGAGAGAGAGATTGAGCTGCCGTAGATGGGTGGAGGGAGGATCCCTCAGTTGATTCACTTACAAACTTGAACATTTTGCTGGGTTGGTTGTGTCTAAAGCTCTGGAGCGATAATGTCCAATTCCAGCCGATCGAGGGCCTTATATACTCTATCCAGTGATCGCTTTTGAGGGACATTCTGTCTGTCCGTCTGCCTTCTGTCTGTCGCTGTTTTTTGGTCGCTTCTTCTGCCGAGTGCCTGCCCCTGGATGGGGATGGGGATGTGGATGTGGATGGCATACCTGATGGCATCACCCACGGGGGACGTGCCTACGCCTTCAATTGCCAAATAAAATGTCGGAAGTGGTTCGGCTTGTATTGGATGGTTCGATCTGTGATCTACTTTGTATGCATTTGTGGATTCCAATGGGCAGCAACGGCTGGTCGGTGGTCGCTGGTCGCTGGTCAGCCAATTTGCAGTCTGTTTGGGCCATCAATGTCTGTCTGTTGGCCGCTCTCTGCCCCTCTGCTGATTCGTACGCAATCTAAGCCAAATGGGCCATAAAATGGCTCAACCTACCCGCCTGCAGCTGCGACCCCTCCCCCTTGTGGCCAGCCCCCCACTAAATGTCTCATTAGTTCACTTTTTAATGCCTCAGTTAGCCCATAAAATTCACTCGTAAATTTAGCTCTCATCCTTGCCGCCAGTGCCACAGAGTCGCAGCTTTATGACGCTGTTTTGCTCTTTTGTTTTCTTGCCCCACTTGACCTTGACGCCATCTGTGGCCACAGGATGAAACTGAATCTGAATCTGACTCTGCCTCTGCCTCTGCTCCTCCTCTTACACAGATCGTGCTGCTGGCCAGCCCGGTCAATCAGTCAGGCGCCTTAATTGGCCATCGAAGCGGAGAAGCGGCAAGAAACAAGCAATCAACAACAAGCAGCAAGCAACAACCAGCGTGCTGGTCGAAACCGGCTCTTCGACTTAATGAGCCATCCGAGTGCGGTCACGTGCGCAGCATCGTCATCTGATGGGCTGCTTGAAGCCCACACTTTGCGATTTGCATTGACTTACTCTCTCGCTCTCTCTCCCAGAATAGCAGAGGTGGCACCTGCATGGCTTCGTGTTTGTTATACAGCAAAGAGTAGAAAAAAACATTGCTTGGCTCCATGGAAATCTCTTTGGCTGTGAGAATCCTCTGTAGAGATATCCACTCCATGGCAGAGCATCTCCAGTTCGTCTTTCTTCTGCACTCGGCCAGCAATCGGATGATTATGACGCTGATCTCAAGGCTGTTGCGATGACGAGTGGTCGCGTCTGTTCGTTCCACGTTTCACGCATGTAACTGTGTATCCGTGTTGCTGCCACCACAACAGGCGGTCTCCAGGTCTCCAGTCTGTGCGGTGACCTCTCTTTCCCATTCCATTCTTCAGATAATTTCTGGGCTGAAATTCTCGACTGATGACGCGCAGATTTTCCAGTGAGTCAAGCACGGAAACACAATGCAGAGTACATACCATCGGCATGCCATCTCCATCTCCATCTCCATCATCATTACCATCGCCATTCGGCAGACATCAAGATCTTGTATCTTCCCTCTTCACACCACTCCGCACTCCGCACTCCACACTCCATAATCGACTTCCACTTCCTAGTTAACCTTTCTGATCGATCGGCTTAGAGAAGACTCTTCAGAAGCCCCCCGGGAGCTTCAGCTTCTTTGAAGCCAAGAATTATTTGTGGCTGTGGGGGTACCGTTGGTTTTAATGTATTTTTGGGAGTGGAAATTTATGCAGAATATGCCGGCAGATTCCTGTTTTTGTGTTATTGTGGGAGAGCAGGTTCTGTGCCCCCAATCCCCCAATCCAGATCCAGATCCCAGATCTGAGTTCCGTTCCCAGCTTCTGATCGATGACACTTTGGGTTTTGGCTGCTTAATTGTCTCTCCATAAATAAACGTCAGATTTGAGACTTAAATGTGTTAAGGAGGAATGCATTGGATTGTGGATTGTGGCTCCTCTTTCTGCTCTCTGCTCTCTGCCAATGCCAAGTTTAAGGTCTCTCGTTATGAGTCGCAGAGCCAAAGATGATGGATCCAAAGATCTCTTGTGGCCCGATTTGTGTGTATTTATATGTAAATTAGTTGGCCCATCCAATCGATTTGACTACAGCGGATCGGAGTGGAGTGGAGTCTGAGAGAGTGAAAGGTGTAAAGCATTGGGTGAAGGAAGACCTCTTTGCTTTTGGGGGCGACCTTCGGCACACGCGTATTATGCAAATGCATCAAGCGATGGATGAGATGGCAATGAGAGGAGGATGGCCAATAAACTCGAGAGATACGTTTAGATGGCAAGTTTATTTCACTTTACTTTACTTTATTTTATTTTTATTTTACTTTAATGCGGTGTGTGTTTCAGGGTGTATTCGCTATGAGGAGGAGCAGTCGCCATCGCAGTTTGCAGATCAGTCGGGATGACACACTGTCCACTATGTCTCTTTATTATTATATTTATTCGTAATTTATTCTACTAATTCGATGGGTATTTCTAACGCCTTTGGATCTGGGGCGTGCCGTAGGAGGTGAGGCCCGTGGTGTGTGGCACGCTGGCATAGGGTGCCCCCGCCTGGAGGGGCAGCTGTGCCACGTTCAGCGGTGCCAGGCCGAAGGGCACCGGCAGCTTGAGGTTCAGCGAGTTGGCATCCACGGAGGCGACTCCCCCACCAATGGAGCGGCCTGCGGCAGCTGCAAGTGCAGCGGGCTTTGGCGGTTGCGACTGTTGTGGTGCCGCCTGGACCGCTGGCAGTGGTGCGGAGGGTGCTCCAAAGACATATCCCTGACTGGTGAGAGCCTGCGTGAAGGCAGCGTGCTCCAGGTGGGGCGCAGCAAACTGTCTGGCCAATTGTTGGTACTGTTGCGGCTGCTGCTGATATCTCTGCTGCTGCTGTTGCTGCTGTTGCTGCTGTGGCAATCGTTGTGGCTGCCGCGGGGCGGGATAGTGATAGTATGCCACCTGGGAGCTGGGGCTGATCGTGTACTCCAGATGGGAGACGTCTCCAAAGGCCGCATTCAGCAGCTGCAGCAGGAGCAGCCACAGGAAGGATACCTGAAAGTGTGACGATTGGGGATTAATCCTTTTCGGTGGGTCTCCATCACTTTCCAAAACTCTCACTCACTTTGGGGCTCATTTTCACTTTACTTCACTTTACTTAATTATGGAATTTCTCGTTTATTCTTATGCCCGATTATCGATGCGTTTCTCTGCTCGCCGATCGCTGATCGATCCACCGCCTTAGTTGCTAAATGATGTTCCACTGCGAAGCTTTGGCAGCTGATTAAAATTTGTGCCCCCGCTGAAGATGCTTTTTATATGGGGTCTCTGTCTCGGCTCTCGACTCTCTGCGATTCTCAGACCCGTTCGCATGCATATTATCTCTTCTCTGAGAGTCTCCCTCTCCCTCTCTCTCCCTCTCTCTCTTTATCTTTCTCTCCATCTTTTTGTTGCTTCTTTTGTTTTGAAGCTTTTTTGGCATTTTGTTGCTGCTGCTGCTGCTGGTGCTGCTGGCTTTTGTTTTGTTTGTTTTGTTTGTTTGCAGCCCAAGTGTTGATGTTGATTTGTTGTCTCTTAGCAAAGCTGACGACTGTTGACGATGCTCGAACGCGTGTTTGGGTTTCCTTGCATATAAATCAATGTTGGCATCCGAAGTATGCAACAAACCCAGTCAACCATGGGGGTTGGGGTTCTACGTTACTACACCCTACTGGAATGCGCCCCCTTCTAGCCGGACTGCTCCACCCCTGAGCTGGGCTCGAGCTGATTAAACAGAAATCGAGTGTCATGTGACAGAAGCCGAAATGCCGCACAAACATAAAAGCCATTAGCCCCCAGCCAAAAGAAGACAACCAAAAATATATACCTGAGGACTTGTGCGGGTTTTGCATGCTAAACGAACGAACGAACGAACGATAGATATACTCGTAGATGTCTCTATCAATCGAAATAACAAATAAATATATATCTATGTGTATGTACATATATATGTATATGCATGTATGTAAGTGTATGTAAAGATTGACCTCCCTGCATTGGAAACACATTCGCAGCTCATTTAAAGCTCTCATCATGTGCTCAGCTGTCAGTGATTGGATCTTCCAACTATTTAATGATTTTGAATGAGAGCTCCCAGCACTCTCACTCTCTCTCTCTCTCACTCTCTCAGCAGCTGTCTACTGTTGAGGTGGGTCAGTGCAGGCAATTCTTCCTCTCAGTCTCATGGAATCTCTGTCTCTCTCGCTCTCTCTCTCTCTCGCTGCCCGTGTCAAGCCGCACCTTTGACCACCAACTTGGCAAGCCGCACAGACTCCATCGATGGCTCCAAGTTCGAACTGCGTCGGGGTGTCATGGAAACGCACATTTGAATTATTTATGTCTATCGCTTTTAATCATAATTAAATCGCAGCGAACTGCGCGCTGCTGGTTCGTTCTGCGCATAAATTGTCGAGTCTCTCGGCTCGGCTCTGAGCATAACAACATTATAATTTGGGTTTAATTAATTGCTAATTTGAGGAAATCAACATTCATATTTATACGCGTATTTATGCGAGTGTTTATGCGGATGGCAGCGCAGCCTACCAGCCCTGGTTGGCGGCGTAGGACAGAGACGGCGGCGGCGGTGGGGCCCCGTAGACGGCGGCTGGCGCTGCCGGAGGTGCCCCAAAGCGGAGTTTGTATCTGCCATGGAAGGCTGGCGGTGCGGCTGCCAGCTGGTAGCCAGGCGGGGGTGCGAATCTGGCGTAGAACTGCGACGGAGCAGGCGCAGCATAATGGGAGGCTGCATATTGAAGGGGCGGAGGTGCTGCAAATTGGGGCGGCGGTGCTGCAAATTGGGGCGGATGTGGTGCTGCAAATCCTGAATATGTTGTCGTTGTGGTCGTCACTGGAGCACCGAGGGAGTACTTGATGGAGGGCGCTGGGGCCGCGTAGGCAGCGGCATACTTGAAGTGCGTGGCAGGCGGAGGGGAATGATGGAAGGAAGGAACAGAGGCATAGCCGTAGGCAGCGGGAATGGTCACGGTATCCGAGACGGCCACAGGAGCAGGCACTGCTACAGGAGCAGGCACTGCCACAGGAACTGGAGAGGGAACCGGCACTGGCACCGGAAATGGAACACCCACCGGAACTCCCACCGCTGCTGGTGGACCGTGGAAAAAGCTACCGCAGGCAGGGGCAGCTGCAAGGCAGATCAGGATCAGGGCACCCAACAGAACACTCTAAACGCCGCGGGGAGTGGGGAATTCGATACGATTATCCAAATATCCAATGCAATGTTTCCCCCACTTGATGCACTTACAATATTCAACATTTTGGGGGTACGCTTTCTTCCGTTTGAGTCCGTATTAAGTCACTTCACCGTCCAGCACTTTCACACGTAATGAATCGATTTTACGGTACCGTTGCAGGCTTATATACGAGTACCACCGATATACGCGAATGTACCATCGATGATAAACCACGATCCGAGCTGCGTCGAGCTAACATTATGCTGATGTCGTCGGGGAAGCAGGAGGGGTAGGTGGGAGGTGGAAGTGGAAGTGGAGAAAGAGGAGTCCGGCGATAAGTAAAAACTCCATTAAGGGATCTGCGCACGACGTGCAATCGACAAAGCGACAAGCGAATCGTGCGGCAAATGCACATGGCAGCAGTACGAAGTAGTTTGGCAATAATCCCCCCCATCCCCCCCAACCCATCCGTGACAAGAGCAAGACCCAGACATCCATTGCTGGATATGTCACAAGTGAGTATAAATATAAATATATACCATGCATATGTTGCAATCATTATTACGTGTGTGCTGCCACCTGCTAGAAGATCTATTGGAGGGTAGGTGGAGTCAAAGGGTATGCGCTGGCCATGGCTAGAACCCTGCTTTATTCCTAGAATTCCCAGAAGTAGAGCACTTCTTCTTTAAACCACAATAACTATAGAATATTCTCCATCCATCATTTAAGCTGCATATGATCCGCCTCTCCGTTTATCTCCCCTTTCAAGCCCACTTTGATAAATCTAATCTGCAATCATTCACAATCCATGGATCAAATTAATGCGCACACGCCACTGCAGCTTCGACTTGTCTCCGCAAGTAACTTTTACTGCTGGTGGCAGCCACTGGCAGCAGCTGCATGAACCACAGAGAGGCAACGGCAACGACAACGGCATGGCGATCACGTTCCGGGCACCTTTTTATGCCTTATGACTCTGATTGATGGCCGTTGCCAAAATATAAATGCCAAAATATCACACGGCCAGTTAGGAGTCGATTTATTGCCACCGCCAGCAGAGCCAGAGCGCACAGCCGCACAGCCCCACAGCCCACAGAGTGCCAAGACGGGTCTCAATTAGCCAGGCCAAGCCCCCAAGCAGGCAACAGCTTCTGGGAACTGGCGCCACTGCCTAAAAGTATGCTCCCCACTCCCCACGCCCCACGCGGGGCAATGTAACAAAAATCTCGTGTCGTAAACAGGGGATTTCCCTTTCGCGTGGCCAATTAAATGGCTGCCAAATGCGCGACACGCGCCCATCGAGAAAAAAAAAATGTCAACAGCACAATGAAAACTGAGGGAACGACAGAGAGCTCCCCCAAAAGGAGACGCAATTACCATAGCGAAGTGGCTAAATCAGAAATCGATATGCGCCTTCGCTGAGCTGAGAGCACAGCCGAATTGGCCTGCCTGCCTGCCTGCACCACGTGCTAGTCCTTGAGGCTGCCGCTGGCAACAGTTGCCTCTCGAGGTGCCTGTCATGGCAGTGTGTTCATGGCAGGTGCCCGTGGCAGGCAACAGGTACGCGAGGGAATGGGGGATAAATCGTCGCACGTGGTGCGCTAACATTTTCGGGGGGAAGACATCCACCCACGCTGGAACAGCCCCTAGCCAACTCTGGCCCCTAAATGAAGTTCCTCTTTGATTGCAGTTTGGTTTATAATCCCATTTTCTTATTTATAGAACCTTCTGGAGAACACAACCGCCTCTGTCAATGAACTGTGCTCTCTCCCAAGGTCAGCTCCGGCAGGGCACGCTCTTCGGCTCTGCTTCTGCCGCAGCTGCTGCTGCTGTTGCTGCTGCTGCACTAGATTATCGAGTGCAAATCCCTCCTGCACACAATAACATAATAATCACGAGCAGAGTGGGAGGAGTGGCAGGAGTGGCAGCAATGGCAGGAGCGGGGTGTCAGCATGGGCGTCAGAGTCCGTGTCATTGCTCCACGGCAAGGTCAGTCCTTGGACAGGGTCCTGGTCCAAGGGTCCTCTGTCCAGCGTCCAGCAGCGTGTGCATTTCCCCAGTGCGTGTTCGTGTAGGGTGTACGTGCACTTCCTGCGGCCAGGGATCAGATTTTCCTCTTCCTGGCAGTTGTTTGACCCTTGCTCCAGCTTTTGCTTTGCAATTAATTTTCCTCACTTGTTCTGTCGAGCTCTGATTGAATGCTGCTCATATTTCCCCGCCTCTGACTCGCATTTCAATTCGAGTTTCGGTTTCTAATCGGATTGTGGTCTCAATGCAGGCTCTAATTGCAACAGATGCTGCCTGTTGCCTGCTGCCTGTTGCCTGCTGCCTGTTGACTGCTGCCTGTTGCCTGGAGGATGTGTGATGTTAGCGGCGAGGTCCTTGCTCCCTGCGGTCGATGTCTCGTTAATAATGCAAAGCAGGGCCACACTTTCCACATGAATAATTCCATTTTCCTTAGCATACTCTACGGATGGGGGCGACGGGATGGGAAGAAGCACTCAAGAGCACTCAACGACTCTGCTCAGATTTGCACTCAAAGAGAGACTGGAGACAGAGCCACCACTGCAACAACAACAGCAGCCAGGGGGAGCCGCACGAACAGGTGTGTTTCCGTTACGAGGTTGTGGGAATCGGCCGAGTGGCAAGTGTGCCATGAGAGAGCACTGCACCTGCACCTGCCCCCAAGTCGCAACTCGCAACTCGCAATACCCACGCCCCCAAGTGATGCATATGCATCCACTTAGTGTCATTTGCTGAGCTTGAATGCATATTCAATGGCTCTGCAGCATTCACTCGAGAGATGTAGGAAGCAGAATCTGCCTCTGCCTCTGCCTCAGTCTCAGCCTCAGTGGCATGGAGACATTGTCTGGCTGTCGTCTGTTCGGATCTGCGAAGGCTGTTCTGCTGTTCTGCCAAATTATCGCTTGACTGGCTAATGGTAACGCCGCTGGCTGGCCGTTGACTTAATAAACTCGTCATGGAATCATGATCGTAAGATCGTAACAGCAGATCCGACCCAATCCGCGATCATCGGACTTGGGCTCGGACACAATTGTGTTGCACATTCGCCAAGGTCGTGGCGACAAGCCCAACAACAATGGCTTATTGTTGCTATTATTTGTAGTTTATTTTATTAATTATACAGAGACTCCGCCCTCAATTACGAGCAGATTTCTACCGTGTAGACATTTCCCATTCGATTTCCCATAAACATGAATTTTTTATTAGCGCATAAATAATGATTTTTCAGGCCAGAATCTCTCAGCCTCTAAGCCTCTCGTAGTCTCTTAGCGGGCCAGCAATAAAAGGTAATTAAGTGGCTTTTTTCACTCCACTGACAAACTCTTGAGGTGCTCCAATTTTTCACTTACGAAACGAGGCAGAAATCATTTAGCGAATCGCCAGAGACTTTTCGACTCCATTCCATTAATAAATACACATTTCGACGCACTTTCCTCTTTTTACCAATTCCAGCCCCACCCCTCCCCCCTCGCTCTATTCAACCTGTTGGCAGGCGCACGCGCTTGTCGCTTGAGTCTTTCGTCCGTCCGTCCGGTCCGTCTATCTGCAATGATAATTGCCGGGGGGATGGAGAAGGAGGGGATGGCGGCGAAGTGCTGACAAGGCGTTGCAATGCTATGAAATATTTTTGTTTTTTCCTGCGAAATTTCCAAACATTTGTCGGGAGTCGTCGCGTCGCGACGCGTCGTTGGGAATTGCTCGCGTTGCTTAAGCAAAATTAATTTGAAGTGCAATTGCATGTGGGCTGGAAGTGGAATTGGGAATGGGAATGGGTCGGTCGCATATTACTCAGAAGTTGTGAGATATATGGGAAATAGAAATGATGAGCGCGAAACTAGGAAATCCTATTTTTAATCAAATATCAACCTTAATTCAAGGAGCCAGTGCCTAACCATTCATCCCTAATTACCCAAATCAAACCTTGGTTAAGCTTAAACTGTTCAAGATTTATTCCCTCTAGATTTATACCGAATTGATACTCAAACGTGGAATAATCCTACCCAATCTAGGGATCTAAGGATAATTAAATCGTTTACCTATCACATGTTTTTAAGACTCATCCAATTGAATCCCTTGTGGCCTCCACATGTCTATAGTGCTCTTAAGATCGGCTTATTCCCAATCTCCCAACCCAACCAAAGAACTTTCTTTGCTTTAAGTGTTTTTTGTTCATCGTTTATTTACAAAATAAAAGTGTCGAAGCCTTGAGTGCAGTGAAATTTGCACCGAAAATAGCAAAATCATTGAAACTTGATCTTCTCTTCTCGCTTTCTCTCTCTCTCTCTGTCTCTCTCGTTCTCTCGGTGCCTCCTCCCTTAGGTCTCTGATGTCTCTGTCTCTGGGTTCGGAGTTATGTGCTTGAGGGTGTTGAGTGGTTAGAAATTTGTACACAATTCGGGGGTATGCGGAGTTTGTTCCTTCGATGCCTTCCACACTTTGACGGCAGCAAAATGCGAATGTCCCGCCTTGAATCTCACTTCAGAGTCTCTCGATGGATGGATATGGATGATGAGGGTCGTCAACGCAGAGTGGTGTGAAGGTGGAAATCCACGCCTTAGTGCAGGTATCCACCGTGTCCGAGGCCGCCGAGGCCAGCGTATCCCAGACTGCCGTAGCTGCCGTATCCCCCATAGCTGCCGTAGCCGCCGTGGTAGGTGGAGGTGGTGTGCAGGGCCGGGGCGGCGTGTATCAGCGGAGCCGAGTGGATGAGCGGAGCGGCGTGCACCAGGGGCGCGGCATGCACCACCGGATAGGCCTTGGTGGCCACCTTGTAGGTGTTGGCGTACGAAGTGGCCACCGGGTGGTGGGCCAAAATGGGTGAGGCGTAGCTCTTGATGATCGGGGCGTGCGAGATCACGGCCGGGGCGTAGGCGGGAGCCAGGGCGGCACCATATCCCAGACCATAGCCGTGGCTATAGGGCGAGATGACTCCGGCATTGGCAACGGCGCACAGGGCGGACACGAGAGCGATCTACAGTGCACAGGGATCGAGTAGAATCGATTAGTAATGTAATCCTTTGGTCCTTTGGTCGTGTGTATCCTTACCAGTTTGAACATTTTGCTGGTTGGTTTTGTGGTTTCTTCGACTTCTTGACTGAAGAGCTGACTGTGCTATGCTTAGACGTCTCGTGTTGTCGTGTTATTTATACCCGAAACATGAGAAATATTCTGACAAATCATGGCCAGAAGAGCAACAGAGAGGGCGACACCCATGCCCATTCGCAGAGAGAGAGAGATAGCGGCAGATCGGGCGAGCGTGAACGCCCCTGCCAGCAGCCAGCCAGCCGAAAGCCCGAAGCTTTGTGCATTCGCCGACATTGCCGCTGCCGAGAGATCGCGAAAGAGATCATTCGAGACTCGCCCGAGTCTGAGTCCGAGTCCGAGTTAGATTCAGATTCAGATTCAGACCCAGCCACAGTGCCAGTGCCAGCACTTTTCATGGAAAAACCTCTTTGGATTTGCCATTTAATTCAATTTGTACTTTTTCGGCTTCCATTGTTGTGGGTCTGCCCACCTGGCGGAGGGGGGGAGCTCCAACGGGTATTTAAATATTCCCATCGAGATTCGTGTGTGGAAATTAGCAATTGTCTTTCGGCGGTTTAGTTCCAAGGGAATTTTCCTCTTGTATTTGGTAGGTTTCCTTTATTTGTAGTGGAAATCAGTTAATTAAAGGCGCCAGAGGAGAACCTTTTCTGGGTATCCTCTTTCCATCTTGGGCACATTTAATGCCACTGCATCCAGGGCGTGCAACGTGTCATGACATTTGTGATTAGCTGATCTCTAAATCCTTTCTAAAATGCCTTTGATTATCAATCAGCCTGACCGGCTGACTAACTGACAGCTCATTACAGATACAGATAGAGGAGAGCGATCCGTAGGTGTGGAAAATGTGGTTGCTCCAATCGGAGGCAGGCAGGCAGGCAGTCAGGCAGCCGCCTCTCCACGCACCGCAAAACGCTCCGTGAAAAATTGGCCACTTTAATAACTGACAACAATTTGTGGAGCGAATTGGAGTGGAGTGGAGTGGAGTGGAGTGTGGTGCAGTTGGTCAGTGGTTCGGTGGACAGACAGCTGGCTTGCATGCATTAATTTTTAAACTGATTTCTTATCGCTTTCGGCTGCTGCGGAGCAGACATGGCGTATGCGTAACTTGGTTGTAAAGAAAATCAATTGCCAATGGAAGTAAATCATATTTGTAGGATTTCTGTCTTGGGATTTATGTTTTGGGATTTGGAATGGCCTGCCAGATTTCCTAATAGCCATTCTTAATTTCCTCGCAGCAGTCGTCGCACGTGGCGTATCGTATCAAAAGATCTTCCGTCCAAGAAGTGTAAAAAGAATTGCGAAATATTGTCACCTGAGTGCAGAACCTTGAGCCATGAAGTTTTTGAATTGAAGTTCTGAATCGAAGTCAGAGTTAGATTCAGTTTCAGTTTCAGAGTTCTCAGAGCCAAACAAAGCCCGGCTTAAAGTTTATGACTCATAAATCAATAAACCTTTGGCTTGGCTTTGCGCTGGGGACAATTCATTCTTTGGTTTGGCTTTGACCCTGGACATCGCTGCTTGATTGGCTATGGAAAATCTGCATATCAACGAGACTTAAACTAAATCAAGCACAGCCACAGCCACAGCCCAAAACAGTCCAAAAGAGTCGAAAGCAAACCCTTCACCAAGCCAACACCTACCGCGTATCGCATATCGCTGTCTGGGGCAACCTGGTGCGTTATGCAAATCGCTGCCAAATTGTCGCATAAATCTAAATCGGACGAGGCTTGATTGACACAAAACAGGATGCCAAATTGCGTGGCTATCGATTGATCCATTGAACTATGCCATGTGCCACTGCCTGCCACCCACTCTATGGGATAGTCGTGGTCGTGGCTGTGGATTCGGGTTCCGATTGCAGCCGGTGGTGGTCAGAGCGTAGAGCTCTCTTGTGGCCTGTAATTGCATTTTAATGGCCTCCCAATTGCATTCTGTGTGTGTGTGCATTGGGCAATGGCAATGCCCACCACAGTCCAGTTCAGTCCCCTTGCATTCGATGCCGATGCCGATTCCGATTTCCCAAGCACAACGCCCAAAAAACTTTGATTGCCAACAAATCATTCAAAAAGTTGAAATTAAAAGCCGTCAATTTTCCCAACTCAAGTGAGTTTCGGGTCTACTTTTTTCCCCACTCTCATGATCTATGCGATTTTTCTGTGGAAATCGTCAAAGTAGACACTTTTCGGGACAAGGAAATTTCACAAGTACGCAGAGCAGAGCAATCCGAGCAGAGTTTCCTTTCCCTGGATTACAAGAAAGAGGAGGAGATTCGGTCAGTTGCATTTCATTAGCACGCTGACCGCAAAAAGTTATATTATTTAATTTGATTTAGAGTTTTGCATAATTGTGGGTTCGTTGGTTGGTCACCAGGCCAATTTGCATTTCTATGTACATATGTATGTATGTATGTATCTATGTGCTCTGGTGATTGTGTGACTCGAGTGTGTCCAATTAAGTATTAAGTATACCACATGGTGGACGCTACGCTACGCGGTCAAGGTCATGCTCACCTTACCCCAGCATTGTCGCAATGTCGTGCACGTTACAGTGTATATACTACAGCGGCGACAACAACAACAACAACACTTTCAATTACATGTTTTATAATGATTAATAATCAGAGCCACAGCAACAGCAACAACTGCAAACTGTAACAATGGCCAACCGAGAGCCAAGACAGCAGAAAATGGCAAGGGATCGTCCGGGTATTTGGTTGGGTGATTAATGGATACTCTTCTAGAGTATACTAGGACTCGTCGTAATTCGACTATATTTATTTATTATTTATTTATATATATTTAATTATTTATATATATTTATTTATTTGCTGTAGACTTTATAGGATTATATGCCACAAGCTGTAATAGTAATAGTAATGGGACTCTTCTCTTCTTTCAGGGTATTCATCCAATGCTTTGAAGAATGCTTTTCCACCGACTGTTGGGGCATGGCAAGTGTCGAGCAGGCACCGCTGTGAAGAGCTCTGTACACACACCGCCAGACAGTCGGACTGCAACATTTTCCATTAATGGAATTAAAGTGAGTTACTTTTGCTTATCCTCCCCTCCACCATTACGCGCCCGTACCCTTTTTGGAGCTACCGCATTTAGTCGGAGATCTTTTACCTTCAGATTCAGATTCGAGGTTGGGCCAACAATTATCATTTGCAAAATTGGTTTCGCTTTGTAGTTCTTTTTCCTTTTCTTGCTTTTTTTGTTGTTTCTGCTTTTGTTTGGGGACATTGCGCAATGTGGGGCTTAGAGCACGTACAGCTCCACATGTTGCTATAGTTTCTGTTGCTGTTTCTGTCTCTGTGCCTGTTGCATGCTTAAACTATTTCGCACACAGATCCATTTGACAGCTTCAGCGATTCCCCCGATTGTCAATGCAAATTCACCGAAAATCCGCATCATAATTAAGTGGTTTAAACGCGGTTCACTGCAGCCACTGGCAAAGCCACAGCCACAATCGAGACTGGCACACGCCCCTTTTTGTGGCTCGTAAATTAAAATGGCAAACGCCTTGCAGCATTCTGTTTTGGTTTTGTCACCAAATTGCATGCAAATTCGACTCAGTGACGGATCTCAAGAGATTTATGTTCGCAAAATAATGGGGTTTTAATTGAATTTACTTTTCAAGTGGGTGCCCGTCAGAACTTCTCCTTCTGCGCGTCTGTACTTCCAAATTCTGTTCGCTGTTCCCCCCGATCGTTGTCTAATGCATCTAATTAGACTTTCACTTTTTGCTGGCCCGTCTGATCTGCGATTGTTCTAGCGAGCAGAGCAATTCGTTGACTTTTGTGGTTACTCACCCTGAACTTGGGCTGATTGGAAATCAAATTACGACGCCCAGATTCAGCTCCAGCTCCAGCTACAGTCATGATGTAGAGGGAGTCATAACGCGGTTAGAGCTGGCACTGGATACCGACACGAGCCGGCACCTTCCAAGAGAGGTTTCCTATGCAAAAGCGGTTCTGGTCTAACACTCCCCAACACGAACATCTATCCCGCCCCATCACGCTATGATCTCCAAATGCTCCGCTTTAGTCACGGAGTGGTGTTCTATGCTACGAGTAATTCTCACACCGACATCGCGAAAACAAAAGCAGAACAACAGAAATCCGAGTCGAGCTGCTTTGGGAACTCGGATAACTATAAAAAGTCAATTAGACTTAATGATAGCCGCAGCTAAACATTAAATTCATGTACGTAAATTACACAGAGCGATGAAGAAAAAACATGCGCAAGAAAATAAAAACCAAAACGGATTCGATTTCAGGGCAACAGCCAGCAGCCAGCAGCCAGCCAGCAGCAGTCAGCAGCCCGCAAAAGTCAAACACAATGTCGATTGTCCAATTTGGATTCTGTGGATTCTGTGTGTAATCAAGGAAGTTGCTTGGGGCCGCTGTCTCCTCTGGTGTCGCTGCGGGCAGCTCCGCTCCGGCTGCAGTCGACAAAAAGTTGTTTGCAGCAGTGCGTCTGGTTTTCTGGTATAATTCAGTCATTAAAATTAATAAGACAATGCAGATCACACGCCCCAAAAACAACGCTCGGAGGCGCCGCAAGAACTGGCCAAACGAGGCATTTCCCAAACGCTTAGGCCTGGAGGCGGATGTGGTTGTGGCTGTGGATGTGCCCACCATTACGGACTATTACAGATCCAATTACTTGGCGTATGAGTGATTTTAAATGGTGTCTTGGCCAGTCACACCGATAAGGCTACAAGCCTGGGATAAGACCACAGCTCAGCTCGTACTCGTACCCGCCTTCTCCCTCCTCTATTTGCAGCTAATTAAGTTGCATGTTGCCGCTGACAGGCATTCAGATACAGATACTCGAACTCGGACTGGTACTCGCACCCAGACAGACAGCCCGAACCGAAGCCAATCCCAGTGGACAGAGTCAAGTTCTATTAGCCAAACTATCTGTCCATATTTCGTTAAAGTTCTCAACAACTTGGGGATTATTTATTACCTTACCGATTGAAATACGTTCATGATAAATTCATTTCCTTATGGAATTACCCCCCAATCCCAGATCACATTTCTTACCATCAATTAAGCTTCAATTTCATTTAGCCAATGCCTTAGTTGATGCTAAGAAATTCCGCATTGGTCGGAATTCCACTAACTATCAAACTTTTCCTCTTTGGGCTGGTTAATTAACGCTAACAGGAAACCCCCTGGGCCAGCAAGGGTTAAGTGGCCCAGCCAAAGCTTAGCTCTGCCAACCAAAGCTCGAACAAAAGATTCATTTAGCGACAGCAGCCCAAAAGTATGCAACGTTTTACAATGCCATTCTAAAGTTTTTCCATGATGGAAATTCATTTGCCAGTTCGCCTTTAGCATGGGACTTCTTTGTGGTGGCTGCTCTTGCTGCTTAACAACTGGAATCGTTGGACCCCGTGTTAAGTGCAATTCAAAGATTTATGCCGACTGTTAAACCGTCAGGTGATTTACACCTTTGGGGCTGTAAGAATCCGTCTTGGACATGGTTTCGCTTGTCTTGGAGCCAAAGTAGAGCACAGCTAACACAATGGTAACTGGCGGCAGCAGCAACAACAAGAGCAACAACAGCAACAATGGCAGCTACTTGGTTCAGTGATTAAATCGTTTCGGGGCCTGTCGTATGTATGTCTGCCTGTCAGCGGGTTCGTGCTATAAGCATCTGAAGTAGCTTCTGTTGGGTCTCTCTCACTTTTCGTTATGTTTTTCTTCTTAATTAAATTAAGTCCAAGGTCGCCGCCAAATGGGCTGGGAATCTTGCAGCAGGCAGAGGTGGATTATGCTTAATTAACATCAAAGTTGAGAGAACTGGGCATACCTGTGCGAGTAGTATATGGCATATGATGTCTGATTTGCGTTGGCGGCACCCAGAAATAGCCAAAAACTACGAGCCAGGAAAAGTCAGTCAGGCGAGGAGCGATTACTAGAGGCTGGTTATGCTAATGGCTTGGCTCTGGGCTCTGTGTGGGGGTGGAACCCTGCCTGATCGGGACCAGTTAACCAGAGGCTGGACAACATCTGGGCGGCAGTCAAGTAGAAGAAATGAACAGGGGGGACAGACAGGTACGAGTATTGTGGGTGGCTTTGTTAGCCACAAGTCTGACAGCAGCAGCAGCAGCACCAGCAGCTTTGCCTTGGCTTTGCCAAACTGCTCGCTCAGTTACGCCCAAATGGGTCACTAATGAGGCATCTAGCCATCTGGGCCTGGGAATAATGTGGCCAAAAGAAACCAGGCAGCAGCGGCAGCAGCAGCGGCACAACTCTCGCTGATGGCTCGATTGTTTGTGCCAATTCTAACGTAAAGAAGATAATTCCCTCGTCTTTGTCTGGGCTATAAAACCAGAGCGTCTTCATTGTAGTCAAAACACAGTAGTCGAGAAGTTCACCCAACGAAGATGTTCAAAATTGTGAGTTCCCCTCGAGCCGGCGATATCTTTCGGAGTCCACTAATCCTTTGGACTCACCGCCTCTTCCTCCAGCTGTTTCTTTTGTGCGCAGTTTACGCCGCCTTGAGCCAGGCTCGTCCCAGCTACCTGCACGGCTATGACGGCCTGGAGTACGCCCCCAGTGTGGTCGGGTATGAGAGCGTGGCCCTGCCGGCGGCCGTCTCGCACCAGAGCTCGACGGTGGTGCACGAGAAGCGTCCCTACTGGCGGCCCATTGTCGATCACCACTCGCCGCTGCTGCGGGCCTCCTATGCCCCAGTGTCCGCCATCTCGTATGCTCCGCTGGGATATGCCGGAGGCAGTGCCGGCTGGTACGGGCCGGAAGCCTGGAGCGGATCCCTTGGCGCTGGCTACGAGAGCATCTACCTGAAGTAGAGGATCCACACTCACCCCCCATGGATAATCCAACTTGGACAATAAATCAAAGCATCTCACATTGGAATTGGAGTTATATATTTTGGAATTTTGTTTATTTCTTTCGAGGGACACAAGCCAACAACAAGCAAACTGTTCAAAATCTTTCGTTCGCGCACCTTTGGCCACTTTCTACCAGGCATGGGCGGCATATGTGAGGGGGGCGTGGTACTGGACTGGAGCAGCGGCATAGGCCACGGGGGAGGAGTAGGCCAGAGGTGAGGAGTAGGCCACGGGGTGGGAGTAGGCCAGAGGTGAGGAGTAAGCCACGGGCGCGGAGTATGTCAGCGGTGCGGAGTAGGCGACGGGAGCAGCCACAGTCTTGACAATGGGAGCGGCAGCCACAAGGGGAGCGGAGTGGACAGCAGTGGTCCTCACGACTGGGGCAACCACATCCTCCACGACCGGGGTGCTGTGCACCTGGGTGAGGCTCTGGTGCGAGACGGCGGTGGGCACACTCTTCACCACGGCTCCGACCTTCGCCAGCGACGACTCCTGGACGATGGTCGTGGCTGGGGCGCTGTAGACGAGGGGAGCGGCAGCCAGATGGCCGGGCTTGGCGGCAGCAACGGCCAGCAGAGCAGCGAGAACGAACTGCAGGATGGGAGAGAGTGGGAATCAGTTAGTAAGTGAGTAAGTAATCCTTTTGGGCCGAAATGTTCTTCTCCCGCGATCCTTACCAATTTGAACATTTTTGGGAGAGGCTTCTGGGGGGACTTGTGTCGTGTAGAAGAGATGGACTCGGAGTGTGATTCGCTGAGGGACTGTCAACCTCTTTTATACTCGAACTTGAACTTCACTTTGGCTTTGGCTTTGGCTTGGCTTGGCTTGGTGTCTCCCACACAGATACCCCCCACCCATACAGGGACAGCTTACAGCTCATACGCATTGCCATTGTCCATTGAGGCGGATACAATCGGCGGTCGAACGTGCCTGAACGGATTCTTGTCTCTTTTTCTTTTTCGTCTGTGTTTTCGTTGGCCCCAAACCAGATTATTATTCGGAACCGATCTACGGTCTTTGCTCTGCACTCGCACTCTTTTCTTCCCCTTCCAGTGCTTTTAGTAATTACTTCACTTATTTTCGGCCTCGCACTTGTTTCGGGCCAAAGCCGAACCCACTCTTGTTTTCGTTTCAATTCTGCGGCAGCCTCATTTATGGCGCACGAACGAGTACGTGCGGCTTTAGGTCTGAAAGGGTCCACAGCATTAATATATCTCCTGCAAGAACTTTCAAGCAATGCGATGGGAGAGAGGGAACATCAGACTCGAATCAATCAAGGCCAGGCCAGGCAAAGCAGGCAAAGTGCATGAGGGTATAGATTTTGCTGGGAAATGGCTACGCTCCTTAGAAGAAAAAGGGTGTAAGTAAAAGTGGGTGGACAGACAATCAGTGGGGGCAGTAATAATGCTTGGAGAAACTGTAAAAACAAATGCATGGCTGGAGCTGTGGGGCTGCTCGATTGAGTTGGTTTGTGCCCACTGTGGCAACTGTTGACGCAATCCATTAGGAAATTAAATTTTAACTTTTTACGACACTTGCTGAAGGCGAGAGTTCATTGACCATCATGGACTGTTGTCCTTGAAGCAGCCAGCTGGATGCCAATGGTCTTACAGGAGGTGAAAGACACCCCCAAAATCTATTTTTCACTCGCATACGTAGTGTTTAGTATTTACGCAAGTCCAGGGCACATGCCCGATGTTTACCCAGGCCAAGCTGCAGGTGCATGCAGCAGGAAGTACGTGCCAGGGAGCAATGAACCAGGACATGCCACGGCAGCCCATCCACCTCTCAGTACCGCCCTCTCTTGGGCAGTGTTTAGAATGCACATCACAGGTGCAAAATGGCACCTGTGCTGCATAGATCAAGACTGATGAATGGCCCACCGAGGAGCGGGCGAGAGCGAGAGAGAGAAAACAGGCAGACAATTTCGAAAGCAAAAACATTTATTTATTTAAAATTCGTATCACAAAACCGTCCAACAGTCCATGAATCCTGGTCACCTGGAAGCGAATGGGCGGCGCTCTACCACACACCGGTGGCGGTGTAGGTCAGCGGCGAGGAGGCGGCCACTGCAGAATAGTGGCCGGCCACAACGGGAGCAGCAGCAGCATAGCTGGTGTGCACCACAGGGGCGGCAGCGGCGTAGCTCGTCTGGTAAACAGGGGCGGCAGCGGCATAGCTCGTGTGGACAACGGGAGCGGCAGCGGCGTAGCTGGTGTGGACAACGGGAGCAGCGTAGGTCTTTACCACGGGAGCGACAACATCCTCGACGACGTGCGCAGAGCTGTGCACCACCGACTGGCTCTGGTGGGAGACAGAGGTGGGAATGCTCTTTACCACGGCACCAACCTTGGCCAGGTAGGGCTCCTGCACGATGGTTGTGGTGGACGGGGCGGCATACACCACGGGGGAGGACTCCAGCAGGTGACCGGGACGGGCAGCGGCTACGGCGAGGAGAGCAGACAATACCACCAACTTGAACATTTTGATTTAGTTTGGTCTGTATTGACTGATTTGGGACTGGAGTGATCGGATTGAGCTTCTTGCGAGAACTGTGTGTGGTTGTGGAGCTGCAGCAGTGGTTTTATATAGCTACCGTTTTGGGCAGAGACTTGGCTTTGACCTTCAACGTCACACGCACACACACAGTACCGGTGTGCGCGTCACAATTCGAGTCGAAATCAAACCCATATCAGATTCTGAGCAGCGATCAATAAGCAATTAGCGTCGGTGGACGGCTCAGCCGAGAGCCAAGCAAGTACAACAGCAGAGTGGGTCCGAGAGACCATTAGAGACTCTCGAGGGTCTCCGGGGTGACTCCTCCACGGCTGCATTACTTGCACTTTGAGTGCGTGAGTCAGGGTCAGCGTGCAGTGCGTGAGCTTTTGGTTTCGGATCTTGGGCATTGGATTCATTTTCAGTTTCAGTTTTTCCTTTCAATTGCAAGTCTCATGTTTTATTGTCCGAGCGAGGGCGCACTTATTTCGCTTTAAAGTCAACTCAAACTCAAATCGTACTCGTAAATGTTTTAATTAGACTTACTTCTCTTTTGCAGCTGCGACGGCAACAGCTGCGTCGGCAACTGCCCCCGAAAATAACGACGATGGACAATGCCCGTACTATTCGGATTCGGACTCGTATTCGTACTATATAAGACTGGTCTGGCGGTTGTCCCATTATCAGTCAGCTTCATTCGCTTCCACAGCAGCACAACACAGACCAAAAACACACAAAATCCCCTCAACATGTTCAAATTGGTAAGTCAGCCAGCCGAATGCGATTGTACCGCTGAAAGCTAACCTCCTCCATTATCTCTTTCAGGTGGTGTTGTCTGCTCTCCTCGCCGTAGCTGTCGCTCGTCCCGGACATCTGTACGAGTCTCCGCTGGTGTATGCCGCCCCAGCGACCACGACAATCGTCCAGGAGCCCTACCTGGCCAATGTGGGTGCCGTGGTAAAGAGCATTCCCACCTCTGTCTCCCACCAGAGCCAGTCGGTGGTGCACAGCTCTGCCCACGTCGTCCAGGATGTTGTCGCACCCGTCATCAAGTCGTATGCTGCTCCCGTCGTCCACACCAGCTACGCGGCATCTCCTCTGGTCCACACCTCTTACGCCGCTCCCTACGCCGCTCACACTTCCTATGCGGCCACTCCCGTCATCTACAACGCTGGCTGGTAAGGAAGCGGAGGAGACTGGATGCTCGGACGAGCGATCTGGATGGCTTAACAAAATAATAATCCTGTTGTACATAAACGAGTTTAATTGCGAGTAAAATGTGATTCCCGAAAGTTAATTCTAAAACTGAGTTTTTGTGCTTTTTGCTTGGGATAATGGGAACTACTATGAGCAGGGAGGTTAATAAGGACTCCAAAAGGACATGTCACGACCCGATCAGTCGTTTAATGATTTGGCCAGCCAAAAGTTTGGGGCGCTATATCTCGAACAAATGGGTCCCGATCACCGCAGGACCTTTTTCCAGGATCGTTAGGATCTAGACTGTCCTTCGATCACATGGAGGCGTGGCCCGCACAGATCAAACGAAAAATAGCGGAGAAATAGAGGATCTTTAGTGATTCCAAGGCAATATCCTTTTTGTCCTTGATGTCAAACGATCGAGGATCTTATCCCAATTACGTGTGGGCATGGCCCGCTCGGATCGAACAGGAAATAGCAAAGATATGGACATTTTTGTGCAAATCTCCTACAAAACAGCGTAAAAAAGGCATATCCTGGCCGTCCTCGGTGTCCTTGGTGGGTTCAGCGGATGCGGGAGATTTTTCCGCTCACGCGGACACCTGGCACATCCTGATAGGACACCAGGGAGCGGAGCTACGAGCGATTTTACATGGCCAAGTGGCGCCCCAAGTGTTCGTGAAAATGTAAAAAGTTCTTAGGCTTTAGGGTGGTTGTTGTACAACAATCGACAACAACAACTTTTGTTGTACAACAATAACAAAAACAACTTTTGTTGTACAACAATAACAAAAACAACTTTTGTTGTACAACAATAACAAAAACAACTTTTGTTGTACAACAATAACAAAAACAACTTTTGTTGTACAACAATAACAACAACAACTTTTGTTGTACAACAATCGACAACAACAAGCGAGTCTTGTTTTGTTGTTTTCTACGCTATTTGTGGGCTGATCGGGACGTGCGATGGCTTCCTGTGATCAGAAAAATGTCCTTGATGTTATAGAGTCTTTATCAAGGATCAAGGATATTTTCATGCATATTTAGTTTTCTCCGCTATTCCTCATCCGATCTGGGCGTGCCACACCTTCCCGTGATCGGGTGAAAGTCCCCGATTTGATGGAGTCCTTGATATCAAGGATCAATATCCTTCGCAGTCAATAATGCTTTAAAAATCACTTAATTTTCTCCGCTATTTCTGCTATGGCATCCAGTGGTTGGCGACATATCCTTAATGAAGTCCTTATCAAGGATCAAGGATATTTTCCCCAAATTTTAATTTTCTTCGCTTTTGTCGACTATGGTGCCTAGGTCGATGTCCTTCGATGTCCTTCGAAAGGACGATGATCCCGCATGTGGACCACACCCACCCAGACTTAAATTAAATACCGATAATAATTTGAGCATGAAACATGGATTTATTTACATCAGTCGAAACATGAAAGAAAGAAAAATAAGACTGCAGGAAAGAGAGGGAAAATTTGCATTGGATCTGGGTAGTAGTTGCTAGCCCACGCACTGCCGTCCAGGATGTCGACGGGATCACTTTACCAGGATGGGGCCCAGCCGTGGCCGGCCCACGAGGGCGACAGAAGTGTCGTGTGCAGAGCCGGAGCCGCATAGGTCTTGATGATGGGGGCAGCGTAGCTCTTCAGGACCGGAGCCAAAATCGGCTGGATGATGTGGGCCGAGCTGTGCACCTGGCTGATGCTCTGGTGGGACACGGCACTGGGAATGGTCTTCACAATGGCACCCACCTTGGCCAGGGCCGGCTCATAGTGGATCGCAGGAGCGGCATAGCTCCAGGGGTCCAGACCCAGGTAGCCCGGACGGGCAGCAACCACGGCGAGCAGAGCGAAGAACACCACCTAAGAGCAGAAGGAGATTAAGAGTATGAACTGAGATCAGGCATCGAACCACTTACCGACTTGTACATTTTGCTAATCCTTGCGATCCTGAAGCGCTAGCTATTGGCTGAAGTATGAACTGTGGGTCTGTGTGGACGCCTCGCTGGGTTGTGTTGCATACTCCAAATCCGCGCCGCCTTTTATACTCCCAAAATCCGACCATGTGCAGCAGCCGTCAAGAAGAAAAACCGAATCTAAAAGTGCAGAAAATACAATAATAATAATTTTTTGTTGTATTTCGTTTTTCCTCCTTCGCCATCGTTAGGAAAAGCTGAAAAATAACGCCAACGGCTGCGGACACTCCAGAGAGCAGAGCAGAGCAGAGTGGGGCAAGCGAGGAGACAAGTGGCAAAGTTTGCATGTGCCACAGCAGCAGCAGTGGTAGCAGCTGATTCGCCTTTGTCTTCTGTTATAGTTTGCCAAGCCCCGCCCAAGTCCCCTGTCCGCTGGCCACTGCCCACTGTCCACCAAAGACTTCAGACCCCATTAGGTTGCAAAAAAAAAAAAAAACAAAGCAAAACAAAACGAAAACCAGTCAAAATAATGTGTCTTGGCTGTTGCTGTTGCCGTCTGGGATTGCGCTAGTCCACGCTGGCCACTTGGCCCGCTCGGGCAGTCGGTCAGCAGCCGGCACTTGCATCACTTCTTCGCCAGCCAAACTCGTCGCAAAAATGCTGTCCACTCTGTAACTTTCCTCAAAGTTGACCGTGAAAATGTGTTGTACTCGCACTTGTATTTCATTCCTGCAACACGCACGCACACCAGACACGGCCCCAAAGTGGCCCAAGTTCAATGCGAACGCACTTGCGTGTACGAGAGTATTTGTCATGGTCGGTACCAAGTCTCCAACTCAAAGAGAAGGCCATCGCAGGCGGTAACCGTCAGAGATTCAGAAAGGAATGTGGACAAAGTTGGGGCCTAATTTGTGGGCCTATCACGTAGGTCGGCAAATGCTGAACGCCAGCAAAACAAGTTTATCATGCTACTATTTCCACTGTTGCTTTCAGAGATGAGAAAGCTTCTCATTCATTCTTCGTTGCGAAACATACATTTTATTCCTTTAATTTTGAGTCCCAATATTCCAATTATTCCGCTCTTGGCCCCGCCATGACTCCTTTCCTTTCTGGATACCAGTTTCTGGTTATGCTAATCTTGGACTGCAATTGTCTGGCATAACAATGCCTATGCGAGCGAGCGAGCGACAACCCAACCCACATAGAACCCAGCTCGGTCTCGGGACTGGTCTCTGGCTCTGGCTCTGGAGTTCCGCTTTGTGTAATAAGCAAACATCGATTGCGATTGCCCAAGTGGCTTTTGCGCAGGCGCACACACACAAACACACATTGGAACCCCAGCACAACTGTACTTTCGTTGTGTTGGTTCAAGCAGAGTTGTGCGAGTATTTGCCGCCGTTATGGTGATTTGTCAGCAGTTTTTAGCATGATTAATGAATGTTTCGTTTCGATCTGGCGACACAACTCCCCCTCCGATCCACTCCACTCCGCTCCGCTCCGCATCGAATGGCTTTGTTAGCCGAAATTCTTGAGCGACTTTTAATAGATTTCTATTTCAGGTAAATTCCTTGGCCATATCCGGGCGCTGTTTATGCTGTGCTGTACTGTGCGGTGTCCCAACCTCTGTGGCAGTATCTCCTTTGGGATCTTGTTCGGTGTTTTCCAGGGGGTAATGTACGCCTTGTGGCCACCTTACGGCTGCTAAGTGACAGTTCTGCCTCTGCCTCTGCATTGCATAACACGAACAATAGCAACAACAGCGAGAAATTGTGGCCAATTATCATGCAGGGAACCAGTTCCCCAGCTCGAGACTGTGGCTCTCGATTACCCCTTATCGACGGCGTTTAGCACCAAACTCAATTTTGCTATTAATTAAAGTTGATTCGCATTGATCTCAGTGGAAGTGGATAAAATGAACCACAATTAAGCAGCGCTTAAAGATCAATTACATATCGGGGAAGGAACATCATGTTGACAGCTCCAGAGACGTCATCACTTGTCTGTCGATGGGTTTTTCAGTTCTCCAATTGTCTATGTCATTATTCTAGAGTTAATTGGCTCGAAGGTCGTTATAGAACAGACGGACAGAATCGGACAAAAAAATGAAATTGTAAGCAATAGAAGTAATTTATGGATGAGGAAGTAATGGGTGCTATTCAGGTGGAAAAAAGCGTTTAATGAGCCCAATATCAAAGCGGAAATAAAGTAGAACTTTCGGCACTTGTTCTTTTATGAATAACCCAAATTAAAATTCATTTCAATTAGTACATTTCCACTCTAATCATTCCCTTCCTTTTCCCACCCCAAAAACTCATTTAGTTACCCATAAAGTTTAAGCACAAAAGCATTCCTTCAATCGCAAGTAAGACACCAATCAAGACCCAAAATTAGATGGCCATTATGTTGCATGAAATTGAATAGTTTCTTGGGGGTTCGAAGTGCTCTGGCGCCTACTATTGAGTGGCTGCAGTTGCCACACATTTCGGACAAAAATGTAGGCGACCTGTCCTGCCGTGGCTGTTGTGTAGCTCTGTTTTGGCACAGTTCACTCAGATGTCAGAGCCACCAAGCGGCAGTCAGTCAGTCATTCAGTCATTCAGTCAGGGAGTTGGTCTGTTACTCCAGCTAAAAGGAGCATTACGCAAATGGCAACGGGTGAGAAATGTGCTGCAGCTGCAACAGCAACGGCGCCTGCTGGGGCAAGCAAAGGCAAGTAGAGCGGCCATAATAATAAAAGGTGCTTGCATATAGAAAATTCATTCCAAGACTTTGCCCCCTCGAGTAATTACGTTGCAGCAGGTCTCAGCATGAAGTGGCGGCGGCGGTGGCGGCCACTCTGGCCAAATTGACTATGCCAATGTGCGAGCGGCAGCAGGTGGCTGAGTGGCCGCGTGTCCCAGTGTCCACTGTTCGGCTAAGGTCAGATGTGTCCATCAATTTGGCTGCGGCCTTCTCTGCAATGGCAACGGCATCCAATTGGAAGCACCGCGTCAGCGGATGCTTGGACATTGGTCATCTGATCGCCTAACTCACAATTTAATTGCAATAACATTGAAAACACACACACACACACAAACACACATATCTGTGATGCCAAAAGAGATGCCAAAACGAAGATTGCTGCCACGGACTGCCGACAATTATTATGGGTAGCCGTAGCCCCTACTAACCCACTGAACTGAATCGAAGCTAGGGCCCCTCCCAATGCAGATCGTGGCGCCGCTTGCAACATGCTGCAACTAGTTTCGCGGCAGATACAGATGCAGTGCTTCCTGGTCCAGATAAGCCAGGCAATTGAATACATTTTCTTTTCGTTTTCGTTGGGTTTCTGCTATTTCGGGGAGTGCTACAACTGTAGACCGGGATCGGGATCGGGGCGACCAGGTAGACTGCCGCGAATTGTTGTGCAAATATTTGCTAGGCTGAATGCAAATCATGATTAATTTACGACTCGACCACTCGACCGAGTGGTCGGATTCTCCAAGCTGACATTTTCAGCACTTTCAGCGGAGGTTGTGTTGCCTGTCAAAATATCAAACGGCATTCTAATGAGCTCGTGCTCGAAGCTCGCTCCAAGTCTCCTCGAGTGTTCTAGTTTGCCATGGAGCGGAGCGGAGCGCAGCTTCGCTTCCACTGCTGCTCATTCCGCTGCTGTTCATGAACTTTTCCAGTCGATGACAGGGCACACTTGGAAGCCTTAAATATCACAATCAATGGCAGACAAATGAAGCCAGGCAAAAACACACAAACAAACATATCTCCGAGTAGATCTCAATTCTCACACACACACACACACAGGCACACGAGATACGAGCCACTTTTTATGGCACATTCTCAGACAAAAAGATAACGTACACACACACAACTAATTTGCAAGACAAAATCAGTAGAACAGTGTAACATAAGAACGGAACAATTAAATTGCCAAGTGTGAATTTCCGCTGTCCAAAAAAATTCGCGAGGAAAACAAATGCAGAGAGCACAAAAAAGAAATACATTTGTACAGCAGCAGCAAAACCAACAACAATTTGCAGGTTGAACAAGTGAAGGTCACAATGGTGGCATCCCAGTCGGACTTTATACCTTCCAAGAAGCACTTCTAGAGCGGTTCTTTTTCCTGCAAGCACCAGTGATTTATACATGACGTTTTGGTTTCCAAATTACACAGGGTGAAACACGCCAGCACCGGTACATTTGGAAGTAGGTAGGAACCGTTCCTTTAGAACGCATTGGGAACTGGTGGTTGTTGTAATTTCAACTTCGTGAAACGCTCGGGTTTCGCTTCCAGTTGTACTTTCCGAAAGAAGCATTACAGAACACATATTTGGCATGCATCGAGAATCGTTCCATAGGAACCTATTAAGAACCGTTCTGTAACTGTTCCAATGCAATCATTCCTTATCACATCCCTGGAATGTATCAAGAACCGTTCCTTGAGAAGGTATGCAGCATGCATGTATGCATGCATGAAAGAGCGTTCTAAAAGAACGCGAGATTAACCCATAAATACAAAAACTATAAATTTTTTCGAATTTGATTTATTTAATATTTTCTTTACTAAAATATGATACAAAAAATAAGAAAAATAAGAAAAAGTAAAAAACAACGAAAAAAATTTAAGAAAAAAATAAAACTGAAAAAAGATAAAAAAGAAATGAAAAAAAAATAAAAGAAAATTAATTATAATAATAATAAAATAAAAAAAATTAAATAATTGCCGTCGTCGTCTATGATGAAATCCTTGTCGTGGTTGTAGTTGTTGTTTTTTTTCGGGGATGTTGTTGCCGTCGTTCCTGTCGGTGTCTGCATGTTTCCTTGCAAGGCAGGAGACCGAGTAAATGCGATTCTTTCCTTTGGAGAATGCCGTCCTTATCAAAAAGAAATTTGTTATTGTTTTATTAATTTTGGCAAAAGTTTATTAATTTCAAATACAATTTTTTAATGTTTATGTCCACCCTAATCAGTTCATTAAAAATCCGAACAAGGTCCACCCTAAATAGATTTCACTGCATGAACATCGTGAACATTGAAACATCTCTCTACTTTTATCAACATATATTTACACCACTATTAATACTTATAGTGCGTTTAGTTCTCCATAGTTTGAAGAACTTATGTATATCGCATTCCATCGTTGAGGTTATGTTCATGTGCATGTACATGTTCAAAGAGAAATATGTATATTATGCATTATTTTTTGTTTATTTTAATATTCTTAAGGTGCAGGTCGAACTGCCACAACAATCTGCTAATACTTACGTGGTAAAATAAACAGTTTTAGGCACTTAAGTATCACTTTTTCACAATTTTTGGCAGAGAGCACAGATAAACACACAATTTTCACCGGCTTCAAGACGCAAGTGATGAAATAAAAGAAGACGAGAAAAAACCGCGCGCGTTCTTGCATGTTCCCTTTTGTTATTTATTTTGTGTTGTCTTTCCCCCTTACCGAGGGTACGAATTTGCTTTCGAAAACATTCTTTATGTCTATGCATTCTTTATGCCTTCTAATAGAAGCGAGAAAGTCACGCATCGAAAACGTCTACCTGCGAACGTTTTCGATGCGTGAACTTCTCGCTTCTATTAGAAGGCATAGAGAATGCATAGGCCGCCTCGTGAAAAAAACGAACGATCGGGAATCGGTTTGGGTTTCATTCCATATTTTTCTGTGCAAAAATATGCATGATAGAACCATTCTTTGTGGAATCGGTTCTACTAAGCCTGCCAGGGAAGTAGTGAAGAACCAGTACTATGTTGCAACCACTTCTACAAGGTCCGACTGGGATAGATTACACAAACACACACATCGAAGCACATGGTATGCTGCAGCAGTCTAACGGAGCAAGCGAATTGCAAGGCATCGGGCACTGCAGCATAAGCAGAAGCAGCAGCAGCAGCAGCAGCGGCAGCAACAATTACCATTGCCAATTGCTGTAGACAAACATCGAGAACAGCACAATCGCTGGGATATTATTATAAGACTTACCAAAAACGAAGAGACGTCCCACACCATTCTGAATGAAAACACACACACGCCACTCTGTAAAAAAATGAGGCAGTTTAGCGTGGAGAATGGCTTCGTAACAGAAGAAGAAGAACTTTACAGAAGAACTTTACATTCTTATGTAAGCCTAATCTATCATATGTTAATAACACCGATGGCAGTTCAAGGGCATTACCAGGCTTAATCGATAGCTGGTATCGATCTATTAGCATATCGCTGTGAAGGTAAACAATGTTTAATTCTAAGAAAATAAACCTCATTAGAGCAAATAGAGAAACCTAATTGGCATTAAAAAAAGAGTATCAAACCAATAGCATAGCTGGAATTGAATTGCCCCCAGATTGAACTCCCACCAAGGCAGAGTTCAGCGCTTTGGATTGAAAGGGGTCGATGGATGGATGGATCGTCGCAGACACGAAGCGAGTCGAACAATGCGGCGTTTGACAAAACTCTATGCGAAAAGACAGACAGCAGCAGACTGCAGCAGCAGCAACAACAACAATTGAAATGTAAACGAAACGAGGTGCAATTACAACGGCAACGAGCGGCAAGGCAACTGCGGATGCAAAAACCAAAGTTCCACAACATTGAAGTCGCAGCCGGCAGCGTCAACGGATATGGCAACGAGGCGACTGGAGCTTGTGCAGTTGCAGCAACGAGAGCATCTGCATCTGCGGCATAGATGCCAGCTGTTGGCGGTGGGCAGCCGTGGAAGGTGGCAAGTGAATAAAAGACACCGCTGCACCATCGAGTGGCATCAGTTGCAAGCAGCAAGTCGCCGAGACCCACCACCAAGGATTAACCACCCACAACATGATGAAACTGGTAAGGATGCGGCCTTCTCTAAAGAAAACTAACTAAAAGGATTCCTTCCTACTGCCTCTAGCTACTGTCGCTAATCTCCATGTGCGCACTAGCTGCGGCACGTCCTGGCTTCCTGCACGGCCACCATCATCACTATCCGGAATACCCCATATACCCCCACCACCACCACCATGTGGAGCCCCTGCATGTGGCCAAGATCGTGCACCTGCCCGCCGCCGTCTCCCACCAGAGCTCGACGGTTGTGCACAGCGTTCCCCATCACATCATCAAGCCAGTGGTGCTGCCTACGGTGGTGAAGACTGTGGTGCATCCTCCCATCATCAAGGCCTACCACCCGGCTCCCATCTTCAACGCCTACCATCCGTACGATCCCTTCCATCTGCACCATCACCATGACTTCCACGACTTCCACGACTACCATCTCCACTGATAGCCGCGCCGCCACTCTGACTGCTGAATGATCGCGAATGATGAATGAAAACTGAGAATGCAGAACGAAGAACGAAAAACGATAAACGAAGAGGATGCTACAGATACTGCCACTGATGAATGATGATGGATGCTGTGATGTATGTGTGTGTCGCTGATTGCTGATTGCGATGCAAACTGCTGGATGGATATGCTACTCCCACTTTCTAACTACAATTAATAGTGTTGATTATGTGTATATAAAAGATACAATTCTGAATTGACAATCTGTAATCTCTGTAATGGATACCCGCCTAGTGCGGAGCCCTCATTCGCGTGTAACCGCGTAAAATATTTCCCTAAAGCGGGTGACATAATTAGCATGTAATCGCAATCAAACGAAAAAACCATTCGATACTTTAACGCAGACAGACAGACAGAGGGACAGACAGGCTGGCACACAATGAGCGACAGACAGCTTTGGGATGGATTGGATGGCACATTTTCCATGGCGACAATGGAGACACGTTGCCCCTCCATGTGGCAACCAAATGCATTTGCTGTGTTATGCAAATCAGTGCATAAGCAGATGATGAGTGTGTGTGCCTGCCTGCGGGGGGGAGCAGAGCAGAGGTGTTGGCCAAGCGAAGTGATAAATGTTTAATGCTGTCTGCCACTTCTGTTGCAAATGATTCGGTTTTGTAAGCACATCCTGCAGGCCTGAAGGGCTACGCTACTCTCTCCGTCCCCCCAGCTCTGCTCTATTTCAAGTACAAATCTTTTTTGCTTTTGCAATTCACACAACTTTTTGCATAAGCAAATGCAAATTGCCCCAAACTCGAGTACGAACACGAGTACGTGTATTTTTACCCCACACAGCCGACACTTATTCGCTCGGCGACTATTACTATTCAGAATCAACTTAATCGACAAACATTGCCATAAGAATAAGCTAATGAGAGTCGCAAACATTTAATGTGACATAAACATCAATTAGAAATTGGCAATTTGTAATAAATTTAATGGTTCATGGGTTTGCTAGAGGGTAGAGGGTGGAGGCGAAGTCTAGAGGGTTTCTTTGTGACTCATGTTCATGCTATGTATTCCCAAAGCTAACAAACTAAGCCTCTGTGTTCCAAATACTTCCTTGTTTGGTGCATTAAAAACAAATCAAAATCAATATCAATCAAGTCTACAAGCTTCGCCTCAACCCTGAAAAACTACGTATATTCGGTGTCTGTTTGGGCTTGTCTTTTCATCGGTTAAATTAGCCGCAAATCGGTTATTGTTTTGGCCAATTTCTGCTCCATTCCATGGTTCGCTGACCGGCAAACGAGGCAGCAAAGTAAAATAAATAAATAATATATTTGGCAAGGTGACTGCGGTCTTTGAATGATTTCTCAGGCACGTGATTCGGTAGCTCGTTAAATGTAAGCAAACAAATGGTGAAAAAAGGTGAAGTGGAGACCCCGAGAGGAAGTGGTGGTACGGTCGCACTATTAGATGCGTGAGAAATGCTTAGAGTAGATAAAGGGCGAGTTCCTGAGTTAATAGTTTTCTTTATATATGTAAATATATATTTATGTGCCAACATCTAACTATAGAATATGTTTTCGGTTCCATTCCTGACAAATCTTCCCCCTGCTGATGCCCATGACAACTAAATATTAATATAATAATAGCTGTCGGCCCTCGACGACAGCGACGGGGCTGAAAATGTGTCTGATGTGCAAGTGTCGCACTATTGCACAAGACAAACATCTGAGCCAATCTCTGGCGATTGGCTGAGCCCCGAGGCGAGTCCACTGGGACTGGCGGGGCACATTAATCAACGTTTCGCCAACTTGGGGACGTAATTTATGCAAGCCGAAAGTGCAGAGAGCAGGGGGACCTGGAGGGCACCTGAGTACGCTAAGCCGCTTTAGTTGATTCTTTTGTGGCTCTCCCATTGCTCAGTAGATATTTCGCTCTAGTATGAGTACGAGTATTTATTTATTTGTTTGCTTAATTGTGTGACGAGACGCATGCAACACAACAGTGTCAAGTGTACGCCGCATAGCACGAACTGTGGCGCTGGCAGCTAGGAAGGGGGTCTGCGACACTCGTAGAACATGTCTCGCATTGCATTGCATTGCATTGCATAAATCATAAGGCGAAATCGAATCGCTTTGAAGTGGTGGCCAGTCAAGTGGGGGAGATCAGAACAGAACAGAACCTGTACGAGCATGTAAGCCGAGAACTTGCCCCCGGAAGGGTTTGGATTGGTTTGGTTTGGCTTGGCTTGTGCATAGAGCGTGTGCTTAGACCGTGTTTGTTGCAGTTGCCAGGCCAAATGCAGAGCAGAGTGCAGAGGCGTGCTGCTGGCTGCTGCTTGTTGGCTGCTGACTGATCTGATTCGATGGAGCGACCCATTTAGAGAGCTCGGACTGCAGCGGTTCTGATTGTTTCGTATAAATAGGCCAGTCGACAGTGCAGTTCTATGTCAAATCGTTGCAAACCATCGACACAACAAAATGTTCAAGCTGGTAAGTGGGAAAGGCTCAGAGACGGACTCCCCATCTAATCTTCCATTCTTCCATTGTCCATTTGCAGTGTGTTTTCGTCGCTCTCCTTAGCCTGGCTGCTGCCGCCCCAGCTCCTGCTCCTGTCCCAGCACCAGCACCATCTGGTCTGTTGGCTCCTGGTCTGATTGGTCCTGGCCTGGTGGCACCCGGTATCTGGGGACCTACCATCATCGGCGGACCGCATGTGGTGAGCGTTGTGCCCCAAGCCATCTCCCATGCGGCCATCACTCAGGTGCATCCTTCGCCGCTGCTCCTCAAGAGCGTCCATGGCATCCATGGCCCCGTTTTGATTGGTTAAACGGAAACAGGTCGCCCACAAATCACCCCCATACTCCACCATAGGCTCCTTCCACTCCCCAAACTCAAACTCAAGCATTTTCCTGCGGATTATTTCACCAATTTACGAGTATCCTGTGCCCTGTTTATAAAGAAAGCAAAAACCAGCAAAGTTGAGAAGAAAAAATACACACAAAAAAATGTCTAGAAACTAAAATACATTTCAAGCAATAAAATACCTACCTACATACTTGTTATATAGCGAGCGAAAATCAATTTGTTTACTCGATCTAATGGAATTATTATGCGGCAGCCCAAAAGTAGGCAACGAAAAATCGCACGCAAAGCCGTGTAGCACGCATGTAGAATATACATTTAAAGGCATATTCCAATTAATTTGGAATTCCTCCTATATATATTCCTAATCTGCATCTAACTCCGTATCTGATGCATCAAACTGATAGTCATAAAACGTGGCATGATTAACTTGTTATGGGCAAAAACAAAAAACATTTATTCAAACAAAAAATCGTAAATATTCTATCACAATGAAGATTCTCTGGAGTCTGGGGAGTCCGTCCTTAATGGTGCAGAGTGTAGGCCAGAGGAGCAGCATGGTGCACCACAGTCTTCAAGAGGGGAGCAGAGTGCACCACAGGCACAGAGTGGACCAGAGGAGCGGAGTGAACGGTGTGGACGACAGGAGCAGCGTGGTGGACAACGGGCACAGCATGGACAGCCACGGCGGGAGAAGAGTGGATGGTGGTCTTCAGGACGGGAGCAACCACGGGCTGGATGTAGGACTTGCTGTGCACCTGGGTGATGCTCTGGTGGGAAACGGCAGAGGGTGCAGAGTGCACCACGGTTCCAATCTTCGCCAGGACAGGCTCATGCACAACATGGTGGGTCTCGATCAGGCCAGCGCTCACAGAGGCGACCAGCAGGGCAACGATGGCAACCTAAGACAATTGTGGGTTAAGTACGGATGCTCCTCCCTCCAAATCTTCGATTTACTCACGAATTTGAACATCTTTAGTTGGTTTTTGGTTGGTTGTTTTTGGGGGAAGCTCAGAGAGATGACTGATGCTGTTTTGATCTGCACGAATAGCTTTTATAGCAGTCGCCAGCAGCTGCTAAGGGCTCAAACAGCGGCGACCAGCCACCAACTTCGGCTGCTGGCGAGGTCGTCCACCTTGAGGCGCATTCGACAGCCACTTCGGCGTTCGGGCATCGGCACTTCGGCGATCTGCAGCAGCCAGAAATCATAATGAGCAGAGATCGGTTCGGCTCACGATCTGATCGGAGACGAAGTCGGGTCATGCTGGGGCGTGCTGAAGGTCAGCGATGTTTCGATTGGCGTCGACTCGAGCGGAGATTCGTTGGTTCTATAAAAGCAGAGCTCGGAGTTCCCAATCATCATCAGTTATCCATCGAATCTTCTCGTGCAAACAAGCAGCAGTCACAGTCACAGCCACACCCAAAACCAACTTCCAATATGTTCAAATTCGTAAGTTAATGCTGGAGAAAAGTCCCTTAAGCTCTATTAACTTTTCATCTTCCCAAACAGATTGCCATTGTTGCCCTCCTCGTCGCCTCTGTGAGCGCTGGCCTGATCGAGACCCACCATGTTGTGCATGAGCCTGTCCTCGCCAAGGTTGGAACCGTGGTGCACTCTGCACCCTCTGCCGTCTCCCACCAGAGCATCACCCAGGTGCACAGCAAGTCCTACATCCAGCCCGTGGTTGCTCCCGTCCTGAAGACCACCATCCACTCTTCTCCCGCCGTGGCTGTCCATGCTGTCCATGCTGCTCCTGTCGTCCACACCGTTCACTCCGCTCCTCTGGTCCACTCTGTGCCTGTGCTGCACCACGCTGCTCCTCTGGCCTACACTCTGCACCATTAGAACCCAAATAATTGTTTCTTTGTTAAACTAAATAAATCTACTGAAAGTATTATTGATCCATAAATTGCTCTCGTTTTTAATATACTGAAAAATATTCCTAAAATATATCTAAAGAAAAGATAAGTGTAGTCAAGACAGAAATTGCAGTTCAATGATTATGGTAAAAGAAGGTTCTAAGTTTGTGACTGGAACTTGGATGCTTAATGTGGCACATGTTTAATGGGTGTCTCAGTTGGTAAAGAGCTGACAAAGGCAACCAACCATTTCTACGAGTCTATAAGATATCTGGAATGGACAAGGTTCGTCCCATATGTGCAGTTTACACTCAATGAAGAGATGACTGAAAAGTTTTGCAACTCAAACCAGAAACTCTGGGACTCCGACCCTCCAAAAGCCCAATAAATTTCAATCTCTATGATGTATGATAAATAATTAAAAACAATTTATTTAAGCAATAACAAAAGCAAACAACAATGCACGGTTCACGGCCAATGGCTAATGCCCCAGCGAAAAAGGGTTCCCATAATGGCAGAGTTTGGCCAGGGCAGACACCTCCAGCGACATCGTGGACAGATCCCTCGTCAAACTCTGGCCAAGGCTGCGCCCAGAACAGACTTCACTCACGGCAGGAAATGTCAGATTATGATGGACCTGATGGCAGGCCTGGACCAGGGCGAGGGCGAGGGCGGCGATAACCAAACTGTAGAGCAGCTATGGATTGTGGGGTAGCAGCCAATGAGTATGCCAAGCGGGGAGTGCAATAAATGTGCAGGGTAACTCACCATTCGAGGCATGTTGAGGCGTTTGGGGGATTGGATCTAGTCTTAGTTTGAATTTGCCACTGCGAAACTCCAGTAAGAACTCATAGCCCTCCGAGGCCTACCACCCGTTTATATAGTTGCCAAAATGTCAAGCGAATAATATGACAAATGATATGCTCAATTATCCGAAGGTCTAAGCTAACAACGGGTCTACTCAGCCCATAGCCAATCGCTGAATAACCATTCAATAGATCACACCACCCATACAGATCGGTGATCCCTAAATACCAGATATAAAATTTCACTGTTCAGTTCAGTTATCCTGTGTTATTGGATAATTGATATGTACTGCCCGCACATAAAAACACTCCATAAAATTAGGGTTTACGAGCACAACTCTTGAGGAAACAGAAATAATAATTTTCTGGCTATTCATTTTCCACATTACAACCCAATGCGCGATGCTTATCTTGAGTACGTGTAACTGTCGACTCAAGTCGAGCCCCGAAAAGCAACAGCAACAGAACAACAACAACACGACAAGCCAACAAAAATTGTGGGTTAAGTGCGCGTGGGGCTTGTCCAGTGGGTAACCTTGACATAGGGACCGACCGAATCTCACTGCGAGTCTGTGACTCTGTCTGGAGTCTTTATCTGTCACTCCAAGAGGGTACTTAACAGCTGCCGCCTTTGCTGCCGCTGCTGCTGCAGTTGGTAGCTGTAGAGCTTTACGGTCTTTCGGCCATGAATCACTTGAGCAATCATCAACTGGATCTGTCGATGTGTTGCAATCCAATTTGAATGCACATGTGTATGGATTCTCGCACTGCTACATACATATAATTTATTTCGCTTTTGTTTATGCCCTTATAATGAAGGGCACACATATGTACATGCACCATGCCAGTGTCGAGGGTTTCGGGAGTTCCCATTTGGGTCAAGTGTTGAGTGCCCAATGCGAAGATTATTACTCGTATCCTTTGAGCCAAACTATTAGCTTATCTAACCCTTAATTTACACAGAGAAAAGCTCTCTTCCGTCCATTGGGAAAGTTCTGACCTGGGTCAAGAATTTCCTTCACCTTTTCTCCGCTGTCTAGACGACAAGCCCACACATCCTTCCATAAATTGTCGTAACCTTTAATTATCTCTGGCTCTTAATCTCTCCTCTTGAAGTGACTCTCATCGCCTGCCCATCCCTTTCCATTCATTCGTTCATTAGAGAGACGCAGCCTCAACCTAGTCAAACGGTATGTGCTTAAAGGTCTGAACGTCATATAACTCAGTCGGCGCTTCCTTCAATTGATGGGAAAGAACCGCACCGCACCGCAGCGCACCACACCGCACAGCGAGAGACGCACATCCATGCCCCAGCAGCAGCACACAGAAGGAGGCTGTGACATTTCCTGGAACCGGGATGTGAATGCAACTCAATTACGCACGCCAAACAGGATACACACCGCCCCCCTTGTACTCGCAGCGCTGGAAAGACGCCACAGCGAAGAGGAAGATTAAAACGAAGACGAAGACGACGCTCTGCGAGCGGAGAGGAGGTGCACGGATAACGGATAACCCACCCACGCACTCTGCACTACGAAGTACACTCCGAGTATTTTCACTCCCCGCCCAATGATTTGCGTAAGCGAACGCCGCCGTGCTGCCTGCCTGCCACTAAGGCCAATTACTTGGCCCCCATTGTCGATTGATTGGACTGGCTTTTCTTTTCTTGTCTTGTCTTGTCTGCCTGCAGCTTCCAGCTTCCAGCTTCCAGCATACAGCATCCAACATCCACTTCCTCACCCACACAGCAGAGCGAACCTAGGTCACTAACTGAACTGCGCCTCGGACAGCCCCACTCAGAAGTAAGACCCAACCAAAGTCAGGGCCCCCAAAACTCAAATAATCGATCCGAAAACACACACAAAAAAACATAAAACCTAAAACCTAAAACCCAAACCGGTTGCGGGGCTCAAGTTCAGGCTTCAAAGTACTTAGCGACAAACAATCGAGGCTGGAGTCTGAGACTCAGGCTGCGGCTGCGGCTGTGGCTATGGCTGCCCAACTATAAAAGCCAGCACTTTGGCCCGTCATCATCAACAGTTGCAGTCGATTCACCCATCCAAGCACAAACATCTCCAAACATGTTCAAATACGTAAGTCCAACAGGATATATCATCCAGCAGGAAATAGAACGTTGATCCTAATACCCGAACCTCTCTTCGTGCCCCACAGGTTGCCTTCTTTGCTCTGCTGGCAGTGGCTGCCGCTGCTCCTGGCCTCATCGCCGAGACGCACTCGTTCGTCCAGCCCGCGTTGCTGACCAAGACCGCCTATGTGGATCACAGCGCCTCCTCGGCCATCACCCATCAGAGCAACGTGAATCTGGTGCGCAAGGTGCCAGTGGCCCCAGTCGTCACCTACGCCGCCGCTCCCGTGGTCCACCAGACCGTCGTGCCGGCTGCTCCTCTGGTCAAGACCATCGTCCAGGCCCCACAGGTCCACACGGTGCATGCTGCTCCTCTGATCAAGACCGTCGTGCCAGCTGCCCCTCTGGTCCACACTGTCCACTCTGCTCCCCTGGTCCACACAGTGCATGCTGCTCCCCTGGTCAAGACCGTCGTGCCAGCAGCTCCCCTGCTCCACACTGTCGTGGCCGGCTCCCCCGTTGTCTACTCCGCCTACCACAAGTGAATCGATTGAAAGCGTGTTGATAAAGGACTCTGTTACGTCCGCAGAGAACGTTGAGCAAATCAATTAAAACAAAAGTATTACAAGAAACTATTGTCCAATATCATTGAGCGGGGGAGAAGGGTACTGGCAGGAGGGGAAAATAAAGAAATACAAGAAATAATGGTAAAGCACTGTCCCTGTGAGTAGTAATGGAATGCGGGTTCAAGAGAAGAAACTTACGTAGAAAATGCAGAAAGAATTTAAGTTCAGCAAATTTATCAAAATTTTAATTAAAGCATTTTTTCCACTTAAAATTTCATAGCAAGCTATTGTAGACTATTGACGGAAGGACTTAAATAAGTGCTGAACAGTAAAATATCTATTATGACCGATAACAGAGATGGCATCCAATTTTAAGATTCTTTAATGGGCACACCTTTAAAATCTTTAAAACAAGGGAACACCCAAGGAACTAGAGACATTGTCGTATACTTAACCTAGTGCCAAGTCTTTTATATATAATAGCAGTACGAGTATTACTCCATTTCGCATTGCAATTTGCTGTCGCTAAAGGCTCGAGACCAAAACCTGTACCGACTCTATTTATATTTTGCCTTCCATTTGAGCCTGAAAGATATTCAATTCAGTGGATAAATTTGCATACCAATCGATCGATTCGGAGATTTGAGTTTTATTGGCCGTTGGCGCATCTGTTCGTATTTAATTAAATTTTCGAAATTTATGTGCTCGCAAAATTAGCTTTGTGCTACCGATTGAGGCACGAAGATAAATGCTGATGAATAATACTCAAATAAAAGTCATTAAACTTGATTATTAAATCGGTAATTGGGTGTGATTGAAAGTGAATCCACATGACAGAAAACACAGCGTAAAAATGAATCCAAAGTGGAAAATCTGATGCCCAAGACTATCCCCCATTCCCTCCCATGGAATTTATCCATTTGACAATTGAAATTTCAACAATAAATTTATTCAAATAGCCAACAATCGGAACGGAACGGAGAGAGTTACCCAGAGATAATTCCTTAGTGATGGTAGACATGGGTGAGGGGAGCGGCGGCCACGGCAACGGTCTTGACCACAGGCACCACTGGGGTGGCGATGGTCTTCAGCACTGGGGTGGCAATGACGGCCTTCTGGTGGATCTGGACGTGGCTCTGGTGGGAGACGGCATGGGGCACGGCCTTGAAGACGGGCACAGCAGCCACATGCTGGACAGCGGGGGCGGCCACATAGGTCTGGTGCACAACGGGAGCCACAGACTTGATCACTGGGACAACAGGCGCCACATGGTGGACAGCGGGCGCGGCCAAATAGGTCTGGTGGTGCACCACGGGAGCAACCTGCTTCACAACGGGCACCACGGGAGCCACGTGCTTCACGACTGGCGTGATCACGGCCTGGTTGTGGAACTGGGTGAAGCTCTGGTGGGAGGTGGCCACCGGGGCGCTGTGCACGACGGCGCCCACTTTGGTGAGGACGGGAGCAGCGGCCACCACATGGCCGACATGGTGCTGCTCAACGAATCCTGGTGCAGCGGCGGCGATGGTGGCCAGGGCACAGATGGCGATCTGAAGTTGGGAGTGCAATTAGTGGAAGGATCCTCTGCCTCCCTGCGGGGCCAAGTACTTACGAAGCGGAACATGTTGATTGGAGTTTGGGGTTTGGGTTGGTGTTTGCTTTGAAGTCGACGAGTGACTGTTGCTGATGCTGTGCCGTGTCTGCGGCTTTATATGGCCAAAACTGTTTGCCAGTTTGCCAGATTGTCCTTCAAGCGTGAGACTAATGAGCAATTGGCAAACTTGTTTGCTGAAATCTTTCCAGCATTGAACTTGAACCCCCCCAACCAAGCGTCGCGACGCTAGACCAAAACATCTGCGGATCCATGCACAATTACGAGTACGATTACGAGTAGAAATCAACTAGACAATCGATTACCCATGGGCTGCAAAAGGTCTGACAATGGAGAACCCGAATCAGATAGCAGGCCGCAAAGACCTTCGCTCTGGCACTTGAGTTCGGCTCTGTCGAAGGTCTCTCCCCCCGTCTGTAGCGACCCAAAAGCAACCCAAGAGAGAGCTTGTCAGAGAAAGAAAACAAGATGAAATGCACATTTTATTCGACACAGACTCGGCGCTCCATAAAAGGCCAGCTCCACAGAGCATCCGCGCGGCAGTTGGCTTCGGGAGTGGGTGGACTGGACTCCGCTCAGATGCGGCAGCGTCGGCTCAAGGACTTTCCTGTGATTAAAGCGATACTGTACGACATAAAGGGGCACGTGTTAATGAGAATCGGGGCATGGCTTGGCATGGACACTGACTGTGGCACGTACTGGTTATCCATATCCGAAATGCCCAGACGGTCAGCATCGGACGAACGAAGACCCCGAGGAGTGGCTATGGAAGAATACCCGTTCTCCGAGTACTGGCTAACACTGCTATCCGTAAACATTACCGCCGAGGAGCGTTGGCACTGGTTCACGAACTCCATTCCAATGGCACTGACTGCCAGATTCGGATGCTTGTACTGGGTCCGCCAGGCGTATGTGCCGTTCTCGTATATCTCGACGGCGGCCTCCTCCTCCTTGGTCTCCGAGAGGCCCAACGCTCGCAGCGTAATCAGAGAATAAGGCAGCGCCCCGCTGCATCTGACAGTGCGACTTGCAACTCTCTCTTTATTCATGTTCTCCATATCTGATACCTGATGATGTTCGAGTGGGAAGTGGGAATTGTGGAGTGGAGACTGCCACTTGGCACAGAGCCTACTATTCAGAGGAAGGATCCCAGGAGTGTACCCAGTGACAAGTAAATCAAATGCATTCCTGCTTCAGGCATCGCCTACTACTCGTATATTCATTCGAACTCGAATTCAACTAGATACTTAATCAATTATGCGGCACATAGACCGGACTCAGATTGAGCAGATCGTAGCCAGAGCCCTCCTCCCGTGTCGTGGGCTTCGTGTGAAACGTTCGATTGAGATTCGTGGGCTCCACGTAACCCAAGGCCCTGCCCATGGGCGCAATGACGAAGCGTGTATGCGTCTGGGAGGAGCCCTGGTAGGACACCACCGAGGGGGCAGAGTCGATGAGCAGGCGAGGCGCCTCCGTGGCCGGTTTGGCCAGCGACAGTGTCAGGGACAGTACGAACAACAGCAACTGCAGGGGAGGGAAACGAAGTTTAAGTTCTCAGCTCGAATGGAGGAGCATCATCATCCCACACACTCACCAGATGCCGCATTATATCACAGTAAATATTATCGATGCAGGTCCTAATGGGGCGATTACGGAGAGAGAGAGAACCACAGAGGAGATCGGTGGTGGGCGGCAGATCGAGAGGAGATCGTAGATCGAGTTGATCGGAGCAAATCGAGTCTCGATTCAAGAAAAAAACACAACACAAAGCGGAGCGAGTGGCAAAGTCAAACTGAAGTGCTGTGTGAATTGCTGTGCCATGAAATCACTGTAAAGCAGTTCCCGACGCAGCCAGTGGCAGGCTTCAATTCAGCCGGAGAGGGGTTCTCCACGGAGTGTCCCCCAGTGACTACGCCCCTGCCTCTCGGCACACGATCTGCGATTCGAAGCGTTGGCAACACGCGCGCAGTCGCGGTTATCTTGCAATTGTGGGAGTGTCTCAACTTTACGTAAAGAAATAAGCCAAAAACCGAGAGAAAAAAAGGCATAGAAAAATCAAATATATAAATAAATAAATATACCAAAACGCCGCAAATATTGTAGTAATAATAATACCACAAGTAACAACAGCAACGGGAGACAGAGACGCAGAGACGGCGACGGCGACGGCGCCTGCGCAACCCGCTGAAGGTTGATCCACTCCACATATCGCACCACCATTCGCCCCCCTCTCTCTCTCTGTGACTAGCCCCGTCACCGCTTTTGGCTCTGTTTGCTTAGGCCGGTGGCTGTGTGCGTTGCTTCAGTCTCCGACTGCGGGTCTGCGGGTCTGCGGCCTGAGGTCTCAGATTAGCCGGCGGCGCGTAATGGTAGCGCTAAGTGCACGCAGCTGTCTCTTTGAAGTACATTTTGATTAATTAATTAAGCTACTCATACGCAAACGCAAACGCATACGTATCAAATTGCCAATTAAAGTCGGCTTTGGGGCGACCTCTTGCCATGTGGTCAAGGAGGAGTCCATCCGCATCCACCTATAAATGGCAGCGGCGTACGCTTTACGGTAATTAGTTCTTCACTCAAGGGACCATCATGCGCATCTCCATCTCCGTGAGTAAACAATCGCCCACACACACACACTCCACTCTTATTGCCCCTCTTTAGCAGGCTTTACCTCTCCTACTCATCCTTTGCTTGAGTCAAAGCCAAAGCCAGAGCCAGGCAGCCACCATTCTGCATGGACACAATGGACACACAGCCAGGGCCATCTCCCACCAGAGCTTCACGCGACTCTCCCCAGCAAAGCCATCGCTAATCCTCCAGCAGCAGGAACAGCAGCAAAAGCTGCTGGAACAGCCAGCAGTGCGCATCGTCAGCTACCACAAGGAGGAGCAACCGCAGCAGCAGCAGCACCAGCACCAGCTAACCCCTGCCCATCTGACGTACTCCGCCCGGCCAGTGGTGCATCAGATGCTGCCGCGGATTAAGCCCGTGCGGAACATAAGCTTCGCCTCCCTAATCCCCGGACCACGCAGCCTCACAACGGGGGGCACATTCGAGGAGCACCAGAACCTACGACTATTGTCATCGCCAGTCTAGGGACCGACGCTTCCCCTGTCAACATTAGTTTATTACATTTTTACACTCATTCGATTTTAAGAAAAAACTCTTTGGATTTGGTATGAAAAAAAACGTGCAAAAACCAACCGAACAGCGAGCGCAAAATTCATAGTTCATAGATCAATCGATCGCCCACCCAAGCCACCCAAGAGCCAAGCAAACGAAGCAGATTTTCGAGGATTTTCGAGGATTTGTGAGGAGTAGGCGTGTGCGTGTGTGTGTGTGTGTGTGTGTGAGTGGGACAGCTGCTCGCGATGAATGCACAGCTGATCCTCAGGCAGTTCCCCAACCACATACTGTTCCGCACCCTCCACTACTCCCTCATTGCGGAACAGCTGCGGGAGGAGATCGAGTCGAGGAGCGGGCCCAAGGTGAAGCGCCGCAGTTGCCTGGAGTGGGAGCCCTTCGCCCTGTGGCTCACCAATCTGATGCTCATCTATGCGGGCGACATCCTGGGCAACCTCCTGCTGGGCACTCTGCCCCTGGAGCCGCTCTGCAACAGCGCCGATGTGCTCTTAAGCTCCTGCATGTGGTGAGTGGACAGAGACAGAACCGTCGAAAAGGTCAGCTGATAATCCTCGCTGCTGCCTGCTCCCCCAGGTACCTCATCTTCTACTGCCCCTTTGACCTGGGCCATTCGGTGGCACAGACCGTGTTCTTTCGCATCCTGGCCACGACCATGTCCACCATCAGCCAGGTGCAGCTCATCGACAAGGGCGTGACTCTGGCCGGGAATGCCTATGGCAACGCCCCAGTGGCCATGCTGGTGGTGGGCACCATCATGGGCAGTGGAGCCGAGCTGCTGAAGCCCGTGGCCGCGCTCCTCATCAACCGCTGCCAGCAGAACCAGATGGCGCACATAAAGCTGAGCATGTGGGTGCCCTGCACCGCCCCTTGATTGCGCTCTTTCTGATGCCTGTTCTCCCACACAGAAACTCCAAGCTGGCTCTGTTCATCTCCAGCCTCTTTGCGCTGCACATCCACCAGAGTCCCCTGCTCCTCGGGCTGACGCAGAGCCAGCTGCAGGTCTACACCCTGGTGCTCGTCAACACCTACAAGTATCTGTCGCTGGCCTATCGGACGGAGCACTTTGTCTGGCAAATGGAGACCCGCGTGCGCTACACCTTCTTCGGCGGCCTCACGGCGGACTTGACCAAATTATTTAAACGCCGTCCAAAGCCTGACAAAAGGCGAAGGAGAACGTTTTCAAAATTTGATTCAAACCGTCGACGGCGCTGAGTGAATTCGCGCCAACAGCAGCACTGAAGCAGCAATCCCTGCCCCCTCTTGTGGGTGGGGTTCTGGGTGGAGGAGCCGGTAAGCGGCTTAGGTTTCCACCCTGCCACTGCCACACGCCACTCAAGCGACGGAGATACGACACGCGGCGGCAGATGTTCCGCTTGATCGGGTTACGCGTGTGCTGGTGTGAGCTGGGGTACATGCTAATCAGCTTAGAGGAGCTCCCACTCTCTGGAGGAGGGGGGAGGAGGCTGGAGCGGAGTGAAGTGCTCCAAGTACACTCGTCCAATTCGTCGTCTATTGTACTGTGAAATTTCCGTTTGAAAATAAGTCAGTAAATTAGTAAAAGAATCTCCATTCTCCATTCGAGAGCGGATTTATTGGGAATGGGATGCCACATTATGGGTTGCGACCTATGGGCAACCCTCTTGATTATCCGAATGGCAAAGGCTGGCAGCACTTTAGCGCACTTATCGATAATTTATCGCACAATTCTAAGGGAAATTCTAAACCCATTTCAGCAAGTATTTATGAGTTAAGTTGCCTCTGATGGAATAATCGAATCCTTAGCCTGAGGTTCCCCCACAATCACATTATTTTCCACCCAACTCTCAAAGCCTCAAAATGTTGAGCAAAATGGCAGTAAAATCCAAAAGTCCCCCCAAAAGTCCTCGCAAGCAGACCAAAGTCCAATCCGTGCAGCAAAAGTCCAAGTCCAAGCAAAAGTCAACAGAATGCCCGCCAATGGAGAAGCCAAAGAAGAAGAAGAAGGCGCCACCCCAGGCCGAGGTGGAGTGCAACAGGCCCAAGTTCTATCGTTCGCCAGAGGAGAAGCGCAGCTACTTGGAGCAGCAGGTGGTGCCCATACTGATGGAGGGGTTGCTGGCTGTAGCCCGCGACCAGCCCCGGGATCCCATCGGTTATCTGGAGAAGTTCTGGCTGCAGGACAAGCAAAGGTGCGACATACAGCTGCCCCAGAACATCCTCTAGCTGAACACTGAATCGAATTTCAAACTCAAATCAAATTTCAAATCATCAAATGAATAAATTCTGTTCTGGTTTCTGTTTGGCCTCGTTGAACGTTGCATTTCTTTGGCCACTGGAGCGAGACGCCTCTTGGGTATTGGGGGGCTATAAAAGCAGCCCTGGGAATCTTTCCAATCATCAGTCATTCGACAGCATTGACCTAGTCACAAGTCACCTAGTCCCTCCGGAACCAGAACCAGATCCAGATCTAGAGAAAGGCAGCGATCATGTCTAGAGTGGTGAGTTATCCTCCAGAGCACATCAAGACCAAATCTTCATTCGGGGTTGCCCTTTATAGTGTCTTCCTGTCCTGGCCATTGTGCTCATCCTTGCCGGATCCTCCAAGGCAGCCAGCTTGGAGTTGCCCTCCAATTTGTTGTCTCTCAGCTCTGGCAAGTCCTCGCAGCTGCTGCCCCTTGCCAGCGAGGATTCCGAAGAGCTGTCTGAGAGCAGTGCTGCCTCGGCTGCCGCTGCAGCTGCTGCTCAAAGGCACGAAAAGGATCAGGAGGATGACTCCTCCTCCTCCGATCGGCACTCGCAATCCTCCAGCGGCAGCTCGGACACCATCGATGCCCGCCTCCTGTCTGGCATACCCGTCTCCGTGCCCCTGCCTCTGATTGTGGCCGCTCGCTCCGGCCTACGCACTGTCCTCACCATCCAGGAGCCCGCTGTGGCCAAGGTGGGGGAGGTGGTGCAGCATGTGCCCAGCGCAGTGTCCCACCAGAGCCAGACCATTGTCCACGACCATCGTCGCCTGGTCACACCCATCCTGGCACCTGCAGTGCGCACCACCAAGCTCGTGCGCCAGCAGCCGCCGCTCCTGTGGACGCTGTCCTCCGCCGATCCTCGCCTGGTTCTGCTGCGAAACTGAAGACCTGCAAGGGCACCACTGTCATGGGAACCAAAGATGAACCAACAAGATGAACAACTCGCCAAAACCCAGCTCTAGCTCTACTCCCCGCTCCTCCCCAGCACACAGACTGTCTCTTCTCTGTCTTCTCTGTTCTCTGTCTTCTCTCTTTTCTGCCATTTTCTGTAGAACTCTTCTCTGCAATAAAGAATTCGCATCTGCAGTCCTCTCTCTCTCTCTCTCTCTCTCTCTCTCTCTCTCCCTCTCTCCCTTTCTGGGTTCTCTGCATTCGTTGGGCGGTGACAGGAAATCAATAAAGAAAACACAGCTCCAGCCCACGACAACAATAAATATGCCACAAGCCACATGCCACATCTTCGGCTGTGCAATCAGTGATCTGTGATCTGTGCTCTCTGGAGGATTAGGGAGAGGCGGAACATGAGCCAAGCTCAAGGGCTAGAAGGGCCACGCCACTCAATTAGAATGCTCTGGTCCGTTCTCCACTCTCGGCTGGACTATAAAAGCGGCTCCGTGCCCATGCCCAGCCCACAGTCGATGCCCAGACCCTGAAGAATCAACAAAGATGCCAAAGCAATTGGTAAGAGGAGAGTAACCACCGCAGAGACCCTGTCTCTCATTTGAACTCCTGCTTGCAGAGTCTCTCCGTGGCAGTTTTTGTACTGCTCTGCCTCGCGGCTTCGGGGCAGACTGAACTCCACGTCTATCATCCGCTGCTGACGCTGCACCAAGAGCCCACACTCGCCAGAGTGGGCAATCTGCTGGAGCATATTCCCACTGCTGTCTCCCATCAGAGCTCCACCATTGTCCATCGCACGGCTCCGCGGCTCACGCCGCTCCTGGCGCCCGCTCTCAGGACCACGCTGCACTATCCCCCCACCTGGAGCTATCCGTTCTACGAGGCCACCAACTCGCTCTACAGAAAGTAGACCCTGCACCCCACACACCCTGGATCCAGTATGATTTTCTAAGCACTGAACCACGCCCAACCCAATTGGATTTAACGCTCTCGAAATGCACAGTGAAATAAAACAAATTCCAAAAGCCCACAATGCATTGTCTGTGGACTGCCATGACAGGAGGAGGCTCATCCTCATCCTCAGCTCATCCTTTTTGGGGAAAGGCAGAGAGAGAGAGAGAGAGAGAGAGAGATGACAGCCAGTCGCCTGCCAATTAAATTTCGCGCTGTGCTGCACTTCTGATTGAGTGGCACTGACGTCACCCGAGATGAATCCACATTTCGAATTCTATATATTTTATGTACATATTTTCTGGTTGAGGTTGCAGAATGGAGAGAGCAAGGGTGTGCGGATTGACGTGACATACGCAAATGTCTCGGCATTATTCCACGGGCCAGCCCAGAACATTCCCCCAGGAATAATGACCTAGGGTCAGTAGCCGAAAGCCCAAAATGTGTTTTCCAGCAGAATAAGGATGAGGCGAGCATTGATTGAGGCCTGTAACCCAGTACCCAGTATCCCATCCAGTGTACAGTTTTGTGTTATTGTCTCTCCAGCGAATGACACAAAAACAAGCAACAATTGGAAGCCATTCTCGACGGTATCCAGGTGGGGATAAATAGATACGCATACGCATACGCATACGACGAGTACGACACACAGATTTCCCAGCAATTTATGAAATTGAAAACCTTGAACCTTCAATCATGCTTGAGAGCAAAGGCCAAAGGTTAGACGCACCGAAGAGACCGAAAAGCGACACCAGATTATGCAAGTCCTTGGCTCATGTGAATGAACGAACCACAATCCCAGGCATCACAATCTGTCCATCACATACGCTCTCTCGGTCCGGTTCTGGAGCAGGACGAAGGATGAGGGATAGTTGCAAGTCGCTCCAATTACATAAGACTGCGGATGCAGTTTCCATGCCGCATTAAGGTCAAAGTATCAATCCCTCTATCGATTAGTTACCCACAGCCATAGCCATTGTCTTTCCATCCCCAAGCGGAACAGGTATTTTCAATAGCTGTCACTTTCAGGCAGTTAGATGAGTCTCAGGCCCCAGGCACTCGCCGCAATGATGCAACAGGCGACCTCTTTGAGGCGCAGTTTCGCCATCATCATCATCATCATCGTTATCGTTGGAATCGTCGTCTGTGGGCATAGCAGCCTTTTAGGCGGCCTCCTAATAAAGCTGAAGACCACCCCAAAAGTGGACAATGCTAATCGTAGGGGTGCGCGTCTCCGCCCTGCCTTCATTCTATTCTGCGGGGAGTCTCATTCCTTTCCTGGGGCTTTCAGGGTTCATTGCATTTGTCCATGGCCCTGGCCCTGGCCCTGGCTCTGGTGCTGGCTCTGGTGCTGGTTCTGGGGCTCTATGGCTCTGGGGATCTGATTGGAAGCACCGTCAATTGGCACAGTGGGTGGTGCGGTGGTTGCGATGGGTCGACCGCTGTGTAATCGGTTTGTTTGTTTATCAAAAACGCCACTTGAATGCATCGTTATGCTGTCATCCCATTCGTCGAGTCAACCCTCCGCCATGGGGGGTGGCTGGGGGGTCCTTCAGGATGCGCGCCTCGCCTCGAATCAAAGTGAATTTAATAAGCGAGCGCCATACTACGACGAAAAAAAGTTCGTCTCTGGATTGAGTATATCAAAAGGCAGAGCACTTAGCATAAGTGGATAAGCGAATAAAGAAGGAAAAAAAAACAGAAACAGAAACTGAAACCGAATAAGTTTTTCCAAGAACTTTAGGATGTACCGTACCCCCCGAACTGGATGATAAATATTTGATGTAATACCGAAACCAGAGTTGAATTATCATTGGGGAAAAACAGTCGCAAAACTTTCCCTCCAACTTGAGGGAAAACGGAAGTCTACCTCCCCTCGAGTCTGGAATCTCTGCTTGAAATTAATTTACAAATGCCTCAGACATGAATTTATTTGGCTGAGAGATGAAGACAATAAGCCGTGTTAAATGAGCCACGGACTGGGGACGGGAGTGGAGTGTGTGTGCGGTGAAAGGGCAGGCAGGCAGGCAGGCAGGCAGCAGCAGCAGCAACAAAAGCCACCATTAGATGCGGGTGAAATAATTTAAAACATTATGCAACAAAAGGTACACAGAGCGAGAGTGAGAGTGGGAGAGAGAGAGAAGGAGAGTGTGGTATATGTACTGTAGAAAGGTAGGGAGGGAGAGAGAGAGATGTCTGCAAGAGACATGAATCACTCTCCCTCCGCAGAAAATCATATTATCCAGCATATTTACCTGTATGCCTGTATGCGCTATGCTGGTCACACAATGTGGGTCTGGGTCTGGGTGTGGGTGTGGGTGAACGACCTTGAGGGTTTGGCCAACTATGATAATTACAACGCTACAGCAAATGATTCGATTTAGCCGTACGCATCGAATTTATTACAGGCAATTTCGCAAAAACAAAAAGCCAATAAACCAGAAAGAAAAGGAAATGCTAGAGCTTGAGGCGAAATTATGGATACCCTTACGATCCATAGAGTAGCCCAGAGACAGAGCTGCATGAATCCACAGTAGAAACAATAAATTGTTTTTTTTTTCCATGATTTTTACTTGGGAAGATATACGATAAAGTCTTCTGATTTTAAGGAATTTCGAATTATATTCAGTGTGATAAATTAAAAAATAAAAGACCTCTTTGAATAGAAACAGACTCCTTTTTAATGCTGCCAAAGAAAACGAGTATAGATACTTCATATAGAGGGATACTCCCACTTGTCTGCCATCGCAAGCCTCTGCTCAAGCCAACAAAACCCTCTTCCGAAAGAGTATACTCGCAACAAAAGGCAATCCCCATTAAAATGCCAGATGCATATGCTAAGCGAGCAAAACAAAGCAAAGCCGAAAGCCGAAAGTAAAACCAAAGCAAAAACACACAAAACCAGCCAAAGCGAATCGAGGCAACAAATCCAATCAAATCAGTTCCAAAATGAATCATACACCCCAAAGAGGGAGGCAGTTCGAATAGGCAGACCGGCTCAATGCACCGCAGACTGCTGACTGCTGCCTGCTGCTGCCTGCCTGCTGCATTGTTATGTAAGCCGAAAAGCAAGCGTCGATAGCCACACACTTCACTGGGGTTTCCCCAAGGCCTAAGCCAACAACAAAGCCAAAGCAGCAGCCGGCAAACAAATCGAGAATTGGCCAGAGACCAGGCCCAAGCCGAAGCGAGTGGAATGGTAGACAGCCCCCCAAAAAGCGTTACTTATGGTTTGGTTTTCCTGGGGATTTTCCCCAGCATTTTGCGAGTTTTGGGTAAATCCATGGCACAGATGCAGCTGCAACTGCAATTGCAACTGCCACAGAGGTGCTGCGAGTGCAACACCCAAAAATCTCTCAGATCAGAGTCTGGCTTAGGCGGTTGCCAAATTGCTTTTTGTGTGTGTGGAGGGAGAGCTGTGTGTGGGTGGGGAGACCTCACTCAATACTCAATACTCAATTTGTTGAGCAATTGACACAAATCGGGAGCTGGCACACTCCGACCTTCGGCTTCATTCAAAGCTCTTTTTGGATTTGGAGACAAGACACAACGATTTTGGACTTGAACTGCGGCTACGAGTATGCAAAGGAAGGAGACCCATTACCAGAGGCAGGCGACAGACAAGCGATGACTATTTGGAGCAAACACAAGCCCCATTCGAGTCTATTTTGGCAAACAATTAACAAGTTGGCCTAAAATAAACACAAACACGAACCAATGTTGTAAGACCCGAGAAATGTGCAAAAAAAAATATAGGAAATTCAAGCACACTCCCATTGCCTGCCCCTGAACCTGTAACCCCATCAGCATCGCGGATTACACACACTCCTCTCTGTGTGGCACTCCATCTGTGTGGCATTAGCTGTCATCCGAGTAGCTGGCGACGAGGCCTCAGTTCAAGTTCAAACTATTGCCAGACACGCGTACTGGGATTTACCAATAGCTGCCAAGTTTCCAGCTAACTGTCAAATTATTTTTAGCAGGAACCAAAACCAAATACAATAATTTTGGAGCTGTAACCAATCGAATATATAGATACCCTAAGAGTACTTACCTTATTAAATAATAAATGGTAGAAAGGGGCAGAAGATTTACCAGGGTTCTTCCCTATGAAAAACATAAAAAAAAACAACAAAAAAACATAAAAATATAAATAAAAATATCAAAATATAAAATTTTAATTATATTTATAATTATAATTAATTAAATAAATAATAAATAATTAAATAAATAAATAATTATAATTATTTATAATATAATTATAATTATATTCATAATGAGCACTATTATGGAATCTTTTATACAAAATTTAATAAAAATGTTAATTTTAAGTAGTAATCATTAGCTTAAAACTATCCAGAAAGACTCTACCATTCCATAAGTATTCCTTTTCCAACCCGTAATACCCCTTCTCAAAGAGCATTAAAAGAGTAATAAATCCCATGTGAATACACGAATGCGAATTCGTATCAGGTTCGACGCACCTCACCTCCTTCAAACAAACACCAGAGACCCATTGCTGCTGTCCGAGTGACTCATAAAAAACCCGATGGTCAAAAACTACGCCACCAGCAGCGCAGCGCAGTAGCTAAGTAGCCAAGCAGCCAAGCAGCTGATTGATAAAAAACTCCACGATCTGCACATGTTTCGAGAGTAAATCAAAGCGATTAGCATAATTTTCGTTCATTCGTTCGTTCGCTCGATCGATCTGAGGCCCCATTATCAGTTTTCTTGGAATGTTTAACATAAAACGACACTTAAGTGGCGCTGGGGGGATACGAGTAGATATATGTTTGTCGAGTCGGTTGTTGGCGCCTGAGACAAGGTCAATCACACACAAACACACACAGCAGAGTGGAGTGGAGTGGAGAGCCACTGAATCACAATGAGAGGAGAGCCACACACAGCACTGACCACACACAACAACATGACTCGAATCCGATGAAGATCATCGTCATTATGGGGTTCGGCACGCGAACGTGATCATCGCTAGGGGAATGTCTCTAATTTTTATGAACTTCGGGTAATTCCGCAAAGCACTTTTGATTCACAACGAGCCAGCCCCGCGAGGCAAAAGCAG